CCATCACAGAGAACCATCCCCGTGCACTGGGGAAGAGTTGCACTCCACTGTGCGTAGAGGGAGCGATCTACATATGTCTCTTGGGCTTAGCTGGTTCTGGGTAGTCTAGTGAAATCACCAGTTTCTTTATTGATCTTCACTAGTTTTCTTCAATGGGGCACTGAAATCCAATAATTACTGCTGAATTGTTTACCTCTCTCTTCAGTTCTGTAAGTTTTTGCTTTGTCTATCTGGGGCTTTGTTGTTTGTGTATGTGTTTACTGTGGTTCTCTGTTCTTGATGAATTGATTTTTCTGTCATTATAAAATTTTCCTGGTGTTAGTAAAGATTTTTTTGCCATAAAGCCTAATTTATCTGATATGAGTATAGCTGCCCCAATTTTCTTTGGTTTCTGGGTTTTTTGTCTTTTTTCTGAGACTGAGTCTCGATATGCAGTTCGGGCTGGCCTTGAACTCACGTCGCTTCTCCTGCTGAGCCTCCCAAGTGCAGGATTACAGGCATGCCTTACCACGCCAGTTTTGTTTTCTGTTCTCATGGTGTGTGTTTTTCATCATTTTAACTTCAGTCCTCAATCCAAACTGTGTGGATTGTAGACATCTGACAGTGTACCATGTTTTGAACCCTAAGATCTCTACCTCTTGAGTTGGGTGTCAGTGAGTTTACATTTAACACATCAATAGTGCAGGATCACTGTCTTGCTTTTGCTGTTATCCTCTATATTTACTGTGACATTTTGTGCTGCCTCTGTTACTTTATTCCTTTGTGCAGAGTACATATTTTTGGTAACATTTAATACCCTTCACATATTTATACCTCTGTCTATCTACATATATTATATATGCAGATATATGCAAATTATATGTAATTTTTGTCTTTTTGAGACAGGGTCTTGCCATGTAGTTCAGGCTGGACTTGAGCTCTCACTTTGTAGCCCAGGCTGGTCTTGAATTTACAAAGATTCTCCCGCCTCAGCCGCCTGAGTGCTGAGATCACAAGTGTGCACCACCACGCCTGGCTTTATTTATTTTGAGACAGGTCTGGCCTTGGAGATTTGGCAATCCTCCTGCGTCAGCCTCCCAAGTGCGGGGATTACAGGAGTGTGCCGCCATGCCCACCTTCCTTCACTGTATTTTTACAGTTATTTTTTAGTGCTTGCCAGAAGCATTACAGTTGCCATCTAGTTTATACGAAGAACTTCAGGTTAATACCAGTTTAATCATAATAGTTTACAAATATGTGCTTCCGTAGAACTCGTTCTCTTCCCCGTCACTGTTCCGATGGCATGCAGAGCGTACCCACAGCACAGATTTACTACTACTGCGCTCGCAGTCATCTGGTAAGTCCTCGATGAGCTGCCCTTTGGAGGCTGCCGTGTTCTGCACTGTGTGTCCCACTAGTTTGAGGAACTCACATGCCGAAACCCTAACAGACAGTGCCGTGGTACTGGAGACGGGGTTAGGAGGTCGTGAGGGTGAGGGACAGCACAGCGTGTGAGGTCTTAGTCTAACAGGACTGGTGGTCTTGTAAGAACGGGAAGGGAGAAAGAGAGAGGAAAAGGGGAGAGGAAGAGCGATCATGAGGGAGGGAGAGAGAGAGAGAGACAGACAGAAACAGAGAGAGACAGAGAGAGAGAGACAGAGACAGACAGAAAGACAGAGACAGAGAGAGACAGAGACAGACAGACAGACAGAGACAGAGAGACAGAGAGACAGAGAGATAGAAACAGAGAGACAGAGAGAGACAGAGACAGAGACAGACAGACAGACAGAGACAGAGAGACAGAGAGAGACAGAGAAAGACAGAGACAGAGACAGAGACAGACAGATAGACAGAGACAGAGACAGAGAGACAGAGACACAGAGAGACAGAGAGACAGAGAGACAGACAGAGACACAGAGAGACAGAGACAGAGAGAGAAACAGACAAAGAGACAGAGACACAGAGACAGAGACAGAGAGAGAGACAGAGACAAAGAGACAGAGAGATAGAGACAGAGAGACAGAGAGACAGAGACAGAGAGAAAGAAAGACAGAGAGAGACAGAGAAATAGAGACAGAGACAGAGAGACAGAGATAGAGAGACAGAGAGACAGAGACAGAGATAGATAGACAGACAGAGAGAGAGAGACAGAGAGAGAGAGACAGAGAGACAGAGAGAGACAGAGAAACAGACAGAGAAAGACAGAGAGAGAGAGACAGAGAGATAGACAGAGAGAGACAGAGACAGAGACAGAGACAGAGAGACAGAGATAGAGAGACAGAGAGACAGAGAGAGAGACAGAGACAGAGACAGAGAGACAGATAGAGAGAGAGACAGACAGACAGAGAAAGACAGAAAGAGAGAGACAGAGAGACAGAGACAGAAACAGAGAGACAGAGAGAAAGAGAGACAGAGAGAGAGAGACAGAAAGAGACAGAGATACAGAGACAGAGAGAGAGACAGAGAGACAGAGACAGAGAGAAACAGAGACAGAGAGATACAGAGAGAGACAGAGAGACAGAGAGACAGAGACAGAGAGAGACAGAGAGACAGAGAGACAGAGAGATAGAGAGACAGAGAGACAGAGAGACAGAGAGACAGAGAGATAGAGACAGAGAGATAGAGACAGAGAGAGACAGAGAGACAGAGACAGAGAGAGAGAGAGACAGAAAGAGACAGAGAGAGACAGAGAGAGAGAGCGTGCTGAGTGAGGTAGGTGTCATTCTCTTTCTGGTGAGCAAGCCATACACAGCAAGAAGACAGCCACTTGTAAGCCAGTGAGGAAGCCTCACCAAAAAATGGAGCCTGACTGTCTTAGCACTCGGGTTTTTTTTTTTTTTTTTTTTTTGACTCTTTGAGGCGGGGTCTCCCTATGTGGTCCAGGCTGGGCTTGAGCTCACTTTGTAGCCCAGGCTGGTCTCTAACTTTGAGACTCCTCCTGCCTCAGCCTCCCAAGTGCTGGGATCACAGGCATGCGCCACCACGCCCAGCTCTAATGCCTTTTGAGCTTCCAGCTTCCTTAGCTGTAATAAAACAAATCCCGCTGCTCAGACACCTTGTCTTTGGCATTCTGCTGGCAGCCCCGCAATGTGACACACCTGCGGGCTTCGGCCGTGGATTCTGGCTCCCAAGTCGCATTCCTTGTCCCGCCTGCAGAGTCCCTCCAGTGCCTCCTGGATAGTAGGTCCTCCTGGCAAGGAGTTCTCTGGGCTTTTTTTTTTTTTTCCTAATTTTGGAATGCCTTAATTTTTATTCTGGCGGGATCATTTTGCTGGAAGCAGATGCCTTTATTGCTGGCTTCCTACAACGTCATTTCATGGTTTTCGGGCCTTCACTGTTTAGGCTGGAAAAAGTCGGCTACTCATCTAACTAAGGATACTCACTATTCGAGGAGGAACTTCTGTGAAGTTTCTCTTTCTTTGGTTGTGACGGTTTAACTATGATTTTTCAGGCCTGGATCGAGTCCATTTTTTAATATATATTTGGAACTCAGTGGGCTTGTTGAATGTGCAAGTTAGTATTTTTCTTCAATGTTACAAGGAGCCAGGCAGGATCTCTTGAGCCTGGTCTGCCTCACCAAGACCCCAGTGACCCCATGGGCCTTTTGGGTGCCCGCTGCTCCAGACCCAGGGGCACCCTTGTGATCCCCAAGCTTCCCCCAGCCAGGAGCAGTCAGCAGCCAGCTGTTACCTTCCTGCTGGCCTTGGGCAGCGGCCTCCTCCTCTCCAGGCATCTTCTGTCCTCCAAGAGACCTGCTGGTGATCGCTGGGGTTTGGAGGATGAGAATCCTGACCATAGCTTGGGAGCGTGGTGGTTTTCATTACACTGATTTCTCAACGGGTTTGTTTTTGTAACAGAGATGGAACCCAGGACCTTAAGCTTGAGTTTGCTGGGAAGACACTTTGCTGCTGAGCTAAAACCCCAGCTCTCGCAAGGTTTTTGTTGTTGTTGTTGTTGTTTTTTTCCACCTAAAACTGGGTTTTACAAGCAAGGGCACAGTGGGGCGCAGGAGAACACGGGTGCCAGGTACAGCAGGGTCACCCCGACTCTGTCACACCCAATCACTCACAGCGACACAGGAGAATGAAACTCCAAACCTACCATATGTCCAACACAAGTTATGTTCTCTAAAATCGAACTTTAGGAACAACGGAGATTAAGAGCAGAATATATTTACCGAGAGAGACAAAGCTTCTGTCAGAGAGACAGAAGGATCCCAAGCGGGTTGCCAAAGACTCTGTCTTTTCTAGGGATTTTATAGAGCAAAACCACAAAGTGAGGCGGGTCTCAGTGGGGAAAGCGGGGAACTCACAAGGTGGGCATAAGATCAATGAGATTAATCGCTCAGGTAGAACTGATTAGATTGGGGACAAACGGCCTAGCAAGTGGGCAGGCCAAACAGCAGGACTCTTCCCTTAGGGGTTGGGGTGGGAACTCCTGGCTTCCTCTAGGTGATAGAGACCTGGTTAGAATACCAGTCCTTGGATATGGGTGCATTTGTTTGATCTTTAGTCTTGAGGCCTGACCCGCAGCAGAGGCCTGTCTTCTCCAAGGCTGCAGGGTATCTGGCCTCCTGCAGGCTCCTCCCAGGGCCCAGCCCCAATTGACTGCCCAGAAGTTTTCTAACTCAGCTGCCTGGACAAGGGCAAGGGCTGGATGCGGGCCTGGCCTCCAGCATCGGACCGGGAACAAACACCGAGGCCTCTCCTGCCCCAGCCTGGAAACCAGGCTCCCCCCCACCAAGGGTCCACGCCCACGCGGGACACAGCATCGTGGGACACTGCCACCTGCTGGCGCCACAGTGCACGCGTGGGCAGCTGTCCCTTTGCAGGCCTGGACCTTTCCCGGACCCAGCTGCCAGCCAGGAGGGACCCGAGGGTCTCAGGGGGCACAAGCAGTGATGCCCAGCAGTGGAGGACTGGGAACCTGGTCTGAGCAAAAGGAACCCGAGCTGTGTCCCACGAAGGACACCAGGGATCCTAGCGATTTCACGGCCGCGGAAATACATGGGGGCGACGTCCTTGCTGCTGAATGTGTTTATTTCCGTCCGGGGAAAAGTTTTCCTTTCCCCTTTGCCCTTAAGAGAAAGCAGGGGTATAATTTAGGCGCCACCTAATTGACATTTGCTTCCTTGGTGGTTGGGCACAGCCCGTCTCTCCCCCAGGAAATGGCCCGGAGTCCTGGGGAGGGGGGGTCACAGTCCTTGCAGGTTCCTCCTCAGTGAGCACAGCTCGAGGCCCTTCCCTGGCCACCGCTGGGCCCACTCAAGTCCTGCCCGCCTGCGCTCCACGGCTGGCACTGCTGCTGCATGGCCCACGGCATCTACAGGCCCCATAGGCAGCTCCAGCCCTGGGCTCCTGGGATGGCATTGGCTCTGCCTCCTGTGTCTGGCCACCCCCCCATGCCAACCGAGCCCCAGAAACGCCTGTTCCTGCTCCCTGTCTGCCTCCATGCCCCGTGGAGCCTGGGCCTGTGCCACCCTGCCTGTCCTTCCCATCTCCCCCCTGGGGAGTGGGTCCCACTAGGACTCTGCGTCTGCCACCCCTGAGCCACTGCTGTGTGGTTTCAGGGGTGAATGCCCTGCATTAGTGTCACAACCCATGGCCCCCAGGCTCTGCAGAGGACACAGGGACACAGGGACAGAGCCACGGACAATGCTGCACACCATCACCATGGAGGAAGGCAGCTAGGCCAGGCCTCATCTTCTGACATCTGGAGGTTCAGTAATTCGTGATTTTCAAAGCTTGGCAAGTGTGTTTCTAAGTGACACGCAGGGTTGGCCTACACAAGCAGAAGGCGGCCCGACCAACGGGTGCTGGCGTCGGACTCTCAGGAAGCACGTGACAGGCAGGTCCTGCCCTGTTGCTTTGGGCTGTGGTACCATCCCTCATCTCACAGGCCGCGCACAGATGTGGGTCAGACACTTGAGTGTCTGGTGCCAGAGCATGCTTTAATAAGCAGGGTTCCGAGCGCCGGCGGCTGGGGCTGTAGTCCTGCAAGTGGACCCTGGAGCTTTTCCTCTTGCTGTGGGAGACTCCAGGCCCCATGAGGACTCGGGTTTCACAGCAACAGCTGGGTTTGCAGGAGCGTTTCCTGTGTGTCTGGATGTACACGCTCTCCTGTTCTCATCTTTGGGGTCCAGGTGGCCTGGGTGGAGAGTGGCTGTGCCAAGGTCACCCAACCTCCTTCCGCACAGCTGCATGCATGTGTGAATCTCCTGCCCAGCCGAGGGCCAGGCTCAGCTGGGGCTGGGACTGGGCCTCCTGGCTGCCCGGCGGCCTCCTGCCGTGTCTCCGGGGGGGATGAGCAGCTCAGGGTGAGGTGGGGCTCACTGGACTCAGTCCTGCTTGCTCCTCTGCATTTCGAGGCTCTGCCAAGGTCCTCTGCCCAGAGAGTAGTTGATGGCGTTGATCGTGGGCACTGTTTTGGCAATGAGCGCAGGCACCTGTGGGGCACAGAAGTCCGAGAGTGAGGGAGGTTCCAGAGCTGCTGTTCCTGCCACATCTGCAATTCCAGACCGTCCTTCCCTGTGGCCAGCAGCCATCTGTCCTCGGCTCATTCCGAAGCCCCTGGGTGGTCCCTGACTACCTGGGGACAGCGCACAACCCCGCCTGGTCACAGGGCATGCCTGTGGTCACCCTTGGCCATCTTTCCCTACCGTTCCCACCCGGTGAAGCCTCGACAGACAAACTTCATCACAGTCTGAGTATTGAAAGGAAGAGAGGAAGAGGAGCCAGGAGCTGTACCATCTGCAGTCTTGGGGACAGGGTGTGCGCGTCGGCGAGGACCGCGTAGAGATACAGGAGGGCATAGGGGCTCCAGCAGAGCAGCAGCGTCCTGGCCGGCTGACGGACGCTCACCTGGAGAGACAGCACCACAGGGACATTGCTGTGGCTGGCCGGGGCTCCGCACAGACAGGGAGGCCGGCCAGCGGTCAGCACCTCCGGGCTGCATGGGAACTCGGGACCTGACCAGCCTCCTGCCCCTTAAGGTCGTAGGACTCCTGGCCTCAGTAAGGTCATAGGACTCTGGGCCTCAGTTGCCTTTTGAGTAACATGGCCTGGTGATACTTGGCTTGCTGGGTAGCCCCACAAGGTGGGGGTGAGGTGATCACAAGCTTCCTTTCAGGGCTTAAGAGGAATCCTGAGCTCTGTGACTGTGCGCACAGAGGGCCCAGGCTGAGCCACCATGAGACTTGAGGCCCAGAGTCACCTGTGGCCGCGGCCACCTAGTGAGAGCCACCTGTGGGGTTCGTTTCCCCACTTTAGATGCTAAAGTACCACCAGTGGCCAGGAGGGGGAGCACGGCTTGCGCTTCTGTTCCAGAACGGAGTAGCCAGGGTCCTGCTCCCCGACTGGACACAACACCCGTTTCCCACTGACATGTCTCTCCTTAACAAAGAGGCAGATTTAGGTTAGAAGAGGGCATTTTCTCTTCAACCTTGGGTTTTAAACATGCTAAATTTTAAAATATTTTTCTTGAATTGTCTCTCATTCTGGTTTTTAAGAAAGTGCTTTGCCTTGACGGAGAGGTCCCTGGGGGAGAAACTGAGGTCTCAGTGGGGGGCCACGTCCTCTCCAGAAGTCACTTAGCTTGCGGTGCAGTTCTGGGGGCCGAGGTTGGTGATGTCCACTAAAGCCAGTCACAGCTGGTCATATCTCCAATAAATGTGGTGATTGCGGATCTGGACGGGGACGGGTGAACAGCGTGGGGACTCCTGGGAGGAGGGACCTTCTCCAGCATTGAGCAGGGGGCCAGGAAAGGGGCCTCAGCTTCCCCCTGGGACCTCAGGGAAACAGGGGTCCCCGGCTAACACAAACTTGCAGAGTGCATTTCTGCTTGGTAAGAGGAATGAAATGAAGCGGCGGGTCGAGGGTCATAATGCAGAGACCGCTTCCTTCTGTAGGACGGCTGCACATTTGGCTGGGGGGCCCTGGTCTGGGTTCGGCCCCGTCTCTGCCGACACTAGGCGTGCAGCTCTGTCGCCCCACTTAGCTGAGCGATCTGTGCCTCAGCCCCGCCTGTGACACAGGGGTGGCAGAGCTTTCCTTCCTCTGAGAGCGGCCACAAAGATGAAATGACGATGCACTTAGAGCGATAGTAGCATCTGTGTTTCAAAATAAATCTTTTCATGATGGTGCACACCTATAACCCCAGCGCTTGGGAGGCTGAGGCAGGAGGATTGCCATGAGTCCAGGCCAGTCTGAACTACATAGCAAGACCCTGCCTCAAATAAAATAAAACAACTTTGCTGCTTGTTAGGACTTGTTCGCCAAGTTTTCCAAGTAAAGGAAAAGTGTGTAAGAGCATATTAGTGCAGAAGTCTGCAAGTGGCCGGGAGGGCTTGTACAGAAGCACCGTTTTCTTGGACAAATGTCGCTGGTGCAGTTTCCTGCCGTGGGTGACACAGCTGTGACTGTGATTAAACTGGACATCTCCGAGCAGGTTAGAAGTCACCTTTGCAGGGCCCATTGCTTTGTCCCAAGCCTCGAAGTCTCGGGAAAACAGTGTAAGCTCATGGACCAAGGCCCTCAGGGAGCTCTACTTCCCCGGGTTCCTAGGACTGAGCCAATCTGGGCCACCCTGGTCCCTGTGCCCGGGCTGTGCCGTCCAGCTGTAGCTGCCCAGGCGCCCCTCGGGCTGAGCTGGCAATGCGGGCCCAGACGCCCCTGGTGCCCCCCATCACCTCCTGTGTGTTCCTGGGCGTCCCGTGGCCTCACCAGGGCCTCACCTGGAGACGGCTGCTCCGGGCCAGGTGTCGCTCCATGAGCTGGCAGGAGGTGACCGTGATGAAGAGCGGCACCAGGAAATTGAAGAAGGCCATGGTGAAGAGGAAACTGGTGAAGTTCCTGTGGGGTGGGGAGGGGTCAGCCTTGGGCTGGCCAGCTGCCCGCTGGGCTCCAGACACTCACAAGTGTGGCCATGCCCGGTCCCAGCTGAGCGCTGCTCTGCAGCCAGGAGCTGCGGGGTCCCCCAGAACTCGCCTTTGGGAGCCTGGGCCGAGATAAGCAGAGGCCCCTGCAGTCCAGTGCTCAGCCCTGCTGTCCTGCCTGTTTCCTAAGCCTTGAGAGCAGTACATTTTCATCTGGGAAATGGGTCTATGAGGCAGTGGAGACACCAGTGGTCTGATACAAAGGGATGTTCAAGGAGGCCCGGGGTGTGAAGATTTGTGTGGAGGCTGGGGATGACGCAGCCTGGACACTGTGTCCCTGAGGATGTCACTGAAGGGACTGCAGAACAGCTGGGGTCTCAGTGGTTATGGGAGGGTGAGAGGGCTGACCAGGGACAATGGGAGTCCCATGTCACGAAGGGAAGATTGAGCTGTCCACCAAGACGGGCAGAGGGAAGGGCTGCACTGGGCCACAGCCCGGCTGCGTGAAGGGCATGCTCAGGTGGGCAGGCCCTCGGGTCGGCTTCACCTGGGGAGCCTGTTCCTGGTGGCAGACGCTTTGTGGGTTAATGCCATGTGACAGGTGAATACAGCATGGCTCTGTGGAGGCAGGCGGGGACTGCAGCCTGTGTGGCCTCCCCAGGGGAACCCCGAGGGGTTTGCAGCCCTCTCCTCCTAGAGCCATGAGGATGGGGCAGCACAAGGACATGGCCTCCTGGATAGTGGGGACCATGGTGCACTCCAACTGGCTCAGCAGATGCCCGGGAGTCCCCAGGCAGGAAGGCACCCCAGCCTCCACGAGAGACAGTGCTCTTCCAGTCTGTTGAACTAATGGCCTGGGTCCTTCTAGAAACCAACAAAGGTGGATTTCGCTTTGCCTGAGGTGACCAGGGAAGTGGAACCTGGGGAGGTGGGCGGTAACTGTCACAGCTCACCCCAGCCGACGGCTCACAGTGTCCGGCTGCCTTCTCAGGCTCCGCCCCCCCCGGGTTCCCATCTGAGTGATGGTCCGGTCCCCGGGCAGGCTCCAGAGAGTGGGCTTTCCCACTACCAGCCTGCCAGGGCTCCATGACTTGAGGGGCTGAGTTGTCGCTAGAGGTCCACTGTTCCCCATTGACGTCGTGGGGACTCAAAGCCACAGCTGCATGGAAAGGGCCTCACGCTGCTCCCCCCGCCTCACCTGTCCCCCGTGGAATAGTCCAAGGTGCAGCAGGTCCCCAGGGGCTCATAGTCGTAACGGCCCCAGCCCAGGAGGGGCAGCGCAGCCCAGAAGGCAGAAGACAGCCACACGAAGAGCACCAGGGGCACGGCCGTGCTCCAGGTCAGCCGGCCGCCTGCGGGGCAGAGCAGGGAGAGCGGGGGTGAGGAGAGCTCAGCGGGGAGCAGCGGACTTCGGGGTCTCATGAGGAGCCCCGAGCCCAGCTTTGATTCTTGGTGCCCCTTGCAAGTTGAGGTTGCTCTGAGCCTCAGTTTCCCCACAAGGCACATGATCTTCCCTGCTACCGAGGATGCCACAAAGAACACAAGAGGCAGAGGATGGTGAGAGTCTCCCAGTAGACCGTGTGGCATCTTCTCTGGAGGATAGAGAGGAGGAGCTGTGGACGTGGGGTAGTGGAGGAGGGGGGTGCACACAACTGACCACACCCTCGGCTCCTGCTCCCTGGACACCCTGAGAATTCCACTCAGGAACTGGGGTCCCTCTCTGTGCCCCAGCAGAGGCAGCTCCCAGCGGCTTCTTGGGTGTGACCTGGCTGTCCTCCTGCCCCCTCTTCCTGGCCCTTTCTCTCCTGCAGCCTCATCCAGCCTTCCCTTGCCAAGGTTCCCTGGACCTTCACAAGGCCTTTCCCAGGCTGCGTCTCCAGCCCTGACCCCATGTTCATCATCTGTGCTCTGGGTACACGAGAGTCCAGGGCAGGAGAGGAGGAGCTCCCAAGTCCCCCAGAAGAGCAGTCTGCATCTTCCCTTGTCCGAGCCCCTGCTCCCGCACACCTGGCTCGCAGTTTGCTTGGTGGTGTCCCCTGGTGCAGACCAAGTGTCTGTGTCTCCTCAAAGCTCCTGCTGGAGCCCTGCTCCCCAGGGGATGGCGTTTGAAGGGGACACTGGCCAGCGTGGTCAGCTTCTGGTTTGCAGGTGGTCTCCTTGCTGGGTCCTCACTTGGAGGACAGAGCCATGTAAGAAGGGCCATGAGAGGGCCATCTCACCCCTCCGTGTGAGAACCCAGCCCGAAGGTGGCCGTCTGCAAACCCAGAACCTGACCGTGCTGGACCCCGATCTTGTTTCCCCGGCATCCGGAGTGGGAGGAAAAGTATCTGCTTTTTAAACCACGCATGCTACGATGTCCCTAGAGTCACCCAGGCTGCTGAAGTTGCCCTCCTCCTCTGCTCTGGATACGACAGTAACACCGTCCTTGACCGCATGCAATCTGTCCAGCATCAGAAGCAGGGAGCGGGGGTCACCTGCCCAGGGCCAGCGGTCACGGAGCAGGTGACTCAGCCCCTCTCCCTCGCCTGCCTTTGCCCTGCTCTGTTGTCTGGAGGGCTTTGGTCTGAGGCTCTGAGTGAGTGTAACCCCTCTGCTCGGAGCCAGAGAAGCCTGCAGCTATTGAGCAGGTGGTGTGTGCATGTGTGTGTGCATGAGTGTATGATACATGTGTGTGCAAGCATGAGTGTGCACGTGAGTGTGTGATGTGTGTAGATGTGTGTACATTAGAGTGTGCATGTATGACACATGTGTGCATGTGTGTGTATAAGTGTGACACATGAGTGTGATGCATGCAGGTGACGTGTGCATGCAGGAATATGTGCTGTGTGCATAAGTGTGAGATGCGTGTGTGCATTGTGATGCATGAGTGTGTGCATGTGTGTGATGTGTGTCTGTGTGCCTGAGTGCAGGCGTGCATTGTGGGATGCACGTGTGTGCATTCGTGAATGTGGACATGGTGGGAGGGGTGTGCCCAGGCCACGGGCAGAAGAGACTTTCGTGGGTGACCGATGATCATTGATCAGAACCATAAGAACAAAGCCATTGTGCGTGGGGTCGGAGCTGTGGAGCTGGGAGAGACCCCAGGAGGTTGCTTTGCCCCTGCAGCAGCCGCCTCTGGAAGCCTGGGGCCATCCTCAGTCCTGGCTCAGCCCGTACTCACGGTGGGACACAGGTGAGCCTCTCACCTCTCTGCCTCTGCTTCTTAGGGTCCAGCCAGGGGCCCTGAGGGTCCCCTGGGCACAGGGTGCATTTACACACTGGAGTGGGCAGTGTGGGTTTATGTTTTTGCTTTTCTGTGGTACTGGGACAGAACCGAGGACCTTTGCACTGAGCTATGTCTGCAGCCCTTGTAGTTTTTTTAAATTTGGAGACAGGATCTTGCTATGTTGCTAGGATGATCAGGCTTGTGATCCTCCTGCCTCAGCCTCTCACAGTGGTAGGGATGACAGGTGTGCACCACCACGCCTGGTGAAAGCATTTCTAAAATTGTAATGGGTATTAGAATTACAAGAACCTGAAGCCCCTGGAAACTACAGGAGATTTTAAAATTTTAAAAGTGAGTCACTTATTAGACAAACTCGAGGCAAAAAAGGAGTAGACAGTTCCGGCCGCGATGACGCTGATGGGGTTTGACAGCGCCACTCTGCGTCTACACTGGCAGGGCCTGCGCAGAGCTCTGCTGTCCCGGAGGCCCTGGAAGGGTGGGCTTCCAGGCCCCAGCTACACACACGCACACCCGCACACACAAGCACACATATGCACACACATGCACGCCCCGTCTGCCTCTGCACCCCATAGTGCCAGCCCACGAGCGCTTTCTCAGAATAAAACGGGGACTCTGGGTGACGAAGGTTTGCGGAGATGCCTCCTCTGTCCTGCAGGGACATCCGGTCCCTAGCCCTGGCCCTCAGCCCCGGTCCCGAAGCTGCCCCTCTGCCACCCACACCTACGTGTGCAGCACTGCTGGTGACGTCCCCAGGAGAGCGCCGCGGTGCCGCTGATGCTGGCCAGCGCCGTCGTGAAGCCCTGGAAGCCGAGAGCCTGGCAGTGTCCGGAGCCCGGCCAGTGCCTGCAGAGAACTGGCCCTCAGTATCCCACTCCCTCTAGGGCCTCCAGGCTTGGCCATGGGGGAAGAGGAGCCCCACATCCCCGGCTGGACCCAGGTTCTGTCTGTACCACCTGGGCCGATTTCTTTACACTTCTCTGTCTTGTGTGTGGCGCTCACGCAATCCTGGGACTTCCCACCGAGCGACAATCCCAGCTGTGTAAAATTATGTCTAAAGTGTGAGAAAAGGCGTCGCTAAGAAGCTAAGCTGCCAGGTGGGGTCCCAAGTTGAGATCCTCCTGTCTCAGTCTCCCAGAGCCGAGATGACAGGAATGTCCCCCTGCACCTGGTTACACACCTTTATTCTACAGGTGGGGACAGGCTCAGAGGGGAACGGGCACTGAGCCGCAGTTGCCCAGCAGATGGGGGCAATGGGACACACACCTCCGGCCCATGGCAGGAGGAGGATTCAAATGGCTTCAGACCCCAGGGACTGGCCAGGCTGAGCACTCATGCTGGGAGGGTGAAGCCTCACACCAGTGCCTCACGGCAGGAGATGTTCAGTTAACTTTAAAAAGAACAACAACGGGGCTGGGGATTTAGCTCAGCGGCAGAAGCACCTGCCTTGCAAGCACGTGGTCGTGAGTTCAATCCCCGGTACCGATTTAAAAAAACAAAACAACAACAACAAAAAGTCTTAGCTGGGCGGGGAGGAACTTGGCTCTCATCTTGGCACTATGGGAGGCTGAGGCAGGAGGACCACAGGTTCCAGTCTGGCCTGTACAACTCAGTGTCTTAGTGAGATCTTGCCTCAAATCAAACAACCGAAACAGGCTGGAGCTGGAGCTCGGTGAAAAGGCCCCATGCTGGATCTCCAGGACTGCAGACAGACAAAAGCCAGGGAGATTCGCATCTTAAGGACACCTTCGAAGGAGATGCAGGAGGACCCCGGGGCACGGCTGTCAGACACCAGCTACCTTCCTGTCTCTGTTTCCTCCGGGGCTCCCCAGGGGCAAGCACTGCTCTAAAGTCATTGCAAAGCAGCGAAGTCAGGACGTCCAGCCACCCTCGGGAACTCGGCACCCTCCACGAGGCAGGGCCCAGCACCCAGGCCAGGCCGAGGGTCCCTGGGCCCCTGCTCTCCACCCCGCCTTCTCTCTGGTGGGGTCTGAGCAACCCCCGGGGGTGCACATGTCCTTCAGGGGTGACCCGGAGTTCCAGCTCGGCCTGGGCAGGCTGCCTGCGTCCGCTCTTGGGGCCGTTTTCTCTCTGCTGGAAGAAGGGTTCTGGGCTGGCTGCACCCTGGGCACGGGAAGGGGCTGGTACCGGAGGAGGCTGGACCCGGCGGCGACCAGGGCGTTGAGGCTGAGCCCGCTGTCCGCCAGGGCCAGGCTCAGCACGAGCAGGTGGTTGGGGGTCCGCAGGGCCGGGCTCTTCCAGAAGGAGACGACAGTCAGGCCGTTAAGGCTGAGACCACAGAGCCCTGAAAGGCAGGGCGGGGGCTGGCACCGGCTGGGGCCTGGCTCATCGCTGCCCTCTAGTGACTCCTGGGGACCTGATCTCCAGGGGCCCTGGCAGGGCCCCAGAGCACAGATCTGCCTCCCCCTGGCTGGAAGTCAGAAGCCTGCGCTCTGGGCATGTCCCCACTGCTTCCAAGGTGCGAGGTGCTCCCTCTGGGACCCCCACCAGGCTCCCGACCTTGGGGTCCTCACTGACAGAGTGCAACGATGCAGGCAGCCAGGAAACAGCCCTAGGTGACAGCCTCACTCTGGGGATGAGGAGGGACTGTCCCTGCCCCGTCTGGCCTGGCTCACCTTCCAACAGCAGCACCGTCCCCACAGCCAGCACCTCCAGCTCCCCGAAGCCGGCGGGCAGGGCCTCGGACGTGGCCATCCTCAGCCTCCTCCCTGCCAGCGCCCTGGGCCTCTGCAGCCCCTGAGCCTGGCCTCTCCTTTTAAAGGGCGATTACAGGAGCAGGCCCTCTCAGGTCATGACACCAGACCCAGCTTCCTTCCCCGCCTTGGCCCCCGCGGAAGGGGCCCGTTCACCCTCACACAGCGCAGTCTTTGTGCAGCTGGGAGGGGCCAGGCTCATTCATCTCTGCCCTGTGGGGGAGGATTAAGGTCTGGGATGCACATGGCCACACGGAGGGCTGGATTGGAGGGGTTGTGTAACCACTGCGGGGAGCAGGGGCGGGAGCTGGGGGTGGAGGAGCCGGGCCTTTTAGTCCACAGCAGCCGGCACACGTGTGTGTGTGTGTGTGTGTGTGTGTGTGTGTGCGCGCGTGTGTGCGTGTGTCCACAGCATCACATGTGCATGCTGGTGAGGCTGGGGAAGGGATGAGGTCTGGGAGCCACCTGCGTTTCCAGTCTCCTACAGAACCTCTGAGGATGAAAATTTCTCCCCGCAAGCTGGTGTGGGGGGCCGTGCCCGTCACTCCCATGCCGGGAGAGGCTGAGGGGCCCTGCCCGTCACCCTCATACCTGGGGAGGCTGAGGCAGGAGGATTCCGAGTTAGACCCCAGCCTGACAAACACAGTGAATTATTGTTTAGCAAGACTGTGTCGCAAAATACAAAATAAAACGGGCAGCAGATGCCTCCCAGTGTGGGGGTCCTGGGCTCAATTCCCAGTACAAAACCAACAGCCAACTTGGGCTCTTTGGGGCCTGTAAGTGGCCTCATTGGCCCCCGCCTCTACGTACGACGCCTCCGTGTGAGGGCTGCACCAGGGACAGTGGCCCAGGGCAGCTTCCCTCAGGTCAGATGGAGGGACAGAGGCACGGAGCTTTCTGAGGTCAGTGGGTGCTGGCTGAAGTCTCGCCCTGGCTCTGGGGTCTCCTGAGATGTCCTGCCCAGCCTGGGAGATGTCCTCCCAGCCATTGTCCTGCCCTCTTGGTGGACAGAAACAAAGCTAAAGGCAGTTCAGAGTCAGCCGGGGCCCCCTTGCCATCTGGGGAGTGAGGGGGACAGAGCCGAGCCTCACACTCAGGCTTGGAGCTGTGCCCCGGCCACCCGGCCTCTTTAGTCCCGAGGACACCCCTTGCCGAGCTCATGCTCTTGTGGGTCACCTGGCACAGCCGAGCCTCATCAGGTCTCAGGTGCAGCTTGGGGTTCCCTCCTCCAGGGCTCCTGCCCTTGCTAAGGAGCCGGCCAATACCTACACCTACCTCTCCCACCCCTGAGACTCTGCAAAACCTTTCACGAGAGATGAGAAAGGAGGACGAAGCCTGGGGTCGCTCCCACAGGCAGTGTTCGGTGAGGCAGAAGGGGGGACAAGCTTCCCAGACAGATGGAGGAGGAGGCCACACGATCTGAGCCAGGTGCTGCACACCTGTAATCCCAGCACTCTTGGGAGGCTGCGGCAGGACGATTGCCATAGTGAACCAACTAAGATGCTTAGTGAGGTAGTGTGTTAAAGTAGAAAATGAGCTGGTGAGGTAGCTCCAGTGCAAAGGCCCTGAGTTTGTTCCATATGTGTGAGTGGGGGTAACAGTGTGACAACAGGCAGGGCTGGTCTTTTAGCTTGGAGAGGAGGGCTATGGGCACAGTGTGGGCACAGAGGGCCACTTCCTGGCTGGATTTGCAGGAGAAGGGAGGGGATCAGTGCCCCCATCAAAACACTGGCACGAGCAAGGTGTGGTGTGTGCCGGGGGCTCTCCGCTATCTGGACCCATGGATGCAGGGGCGGGAGCCTTCTGCAAAGCCGAGGGACCCAGGCTGGGCACGGTGGAGCAGACCCCAAAACCTTGGGGTGACAGAGTCACCCTTGGTCCCCTGCTTGGACTCAGCCTCGGTCCAAGTTGGCATCTTGCGTAGGTTTGGCCAGACAGGACGGGTGGAGGGACAACAAGTGAACGCTGGGAGCCCCTCCTGTAGGGCTTGGAGACCCCTGAAGTACTGACCCCTCTTGGAGCTGGGTGTCGGGAGTCTCTGTCCCACAGTAGTCACCCCCTCCTTGGAAGAATGGGTGTCCACGAGGTGTTTTAGCGAGGCCATGGCTTGCCCTGAGGACAGCTGTAGGGGGGCATCCAGGGCAGGCATCTTTGAGGACACCCCTGAGACAGCAGCGGCTCCTTCCGAGAAGGCCCCGTGAGAACCCACAAACTGAGGGTTTTCTGCTTGCAAGAGCTGCGATGCCCCAGGCCCATAGTTGAGGCCAGAGTTCAGCCTTCCTCTTTGCCAGCTGGACACCCCGGGGAGCTCTGGAAGTGTCTCTACCCCTCCCTCAGGCCCAGCCATCCTGGAAGCCAGCTCTAAGCTGCTGAGAGCAGTGGCTGGGGCTCTTCTCTCTAATCCCTAGCCTGTCTCCTGTTTATCTGATGGCCTCGGGCAGGGATGCTGGGCAGTGGTTGGTGAGCAAGTGGGCAGCTGCTGTGTTTGCTGGGCCGGCAGGACGGAGCAGTCTGGAGACAGGCCCCTTCCCGGGCCGGCGAGGAGCCGGGAGTCATGTGGGTGGCCCTGGGCATGCTCTGGCTCCTGGCCCTCGGGGGGCCCCACCAGGCTGGGGGCTCCTGCCCCTCTCAGTGCAGCTGCAGCCTCCACATCCTGGGTGACGGCAGCAAGGCCAGGTAGGGTCCCCTCCTCGGTGTGGGGTGTGGTTGTGAGGTGCGGGTGGCACAGGAGGCGTAAGGTCCCCAGCGGCTGCTCCCCAGGGCCCCCAGGGAAGCAGGCTCCTTAGCCCGAGGCTGGGAGAGAACTCTGGCTCCCTGGAAACCAGGTGGCTGCTTTGGCCAGCAGGTGCTGGGTCCTTTACACATGTGGAGGCACAGGTGTCCCCAGAAGTCCTGCCTGCACCCCTCTGGCTCCTGATGGAAGGGGTCCCTCTTCAATGCTCACCCTTCCCTTCCCCGCCTAGCTTCCCTCTGTTCATCTCCCTCTGGGCTCCCCGGCTCCTGCCCCAGTCTCACAGCTGCCTCCTTGACCCCCAGTCCCTTTCGGGCTTCTCGCCACCCCACCCATGTTGAGGCCACCTGTCTCCCCTCTCGCCCGCCTGTGGGTCTCCTTGGGCAGCCCCTGGAGCACCCTCCCGCCCAGGGCAGCCCCACCCTCCCCTGCCCCTTCCTGGGTGCCTTCCGCAGGGCACTTGCTTTGCCCACCCCTGCTCCTCCGCTGCCCCCAAACCACTTTTCCTCCAACTCCCCAGCTGAGGATCTGGCGTTTTCTGCTCAGCCGCTGGCCACGGTCTCTCCTGCCATCTGCCCAGCCTTCCTTCCTGCCTAGACGGGTTCCGGGGCCCAGGGGAGTAATCAGGCCAGAGCCACCTTTTCAGTGATCCTGCCAGTGGTTGCTGGGCTGATTGGCGGGGTGTGGAGGCGGGGAACAGGGAGGAATCTGAAGACAGGACACCTCATATGGCACCATCTGGGGTCCAGCAGAGCTGGTGTCCCATGTGCTAACTCCGGTGGAGGGGGCGAGGGTCCTCTCACCAAAGGTACCCAGGTGGGGCCTTGAGTGGGCTAAGAAAAAGCCCACTACCAAGGACCATGTGGTCGTCTCCACCCACAGAGAGCGCTGGCCTCGGGTCACACAGCATCACAGGGTCAGAGATGGAAGTGGTCTGTGAATTAACCCTTCCTGTCGGGGGCTGCAGGCAGCAGTTAGCCTTTGGACGAAACTGAAATGCAAGGATGGTGTTGGGGGACCTCAGTGTCAGGTGTGGCCGTCCCCTCTCTCAAGTGGAGCCCTTACAGCAGGCCCACCTGCTGGATGGTCTCTGAGCGGATGTGGAGCATCCTATGCAGGCTGGGCTGCAGGGACCTGGAGGTCTCCAAGGGCCAGGGGCACGGCCTGTGCCCAGGCTGCCCTATTTCAACCTCAGAGCCTTCCTCATCCCCAGCCCAGGCTCTCGAAGGCTGTCCCAGAGCCCCACCTGGCCACCCTTCAGTCTATCCCCAGGGACCCTGGGGTTGCTTCGAGGGCCCAGTCCGGGCCCCCAGTGCATTCTGTGCCCAGTTGGTCCCATCTGGAGCTGTGTGGGGCTTGGGGTGGGTTCTTTCTGCCATGACCGCTTTCCCTGCAGCCCACAACGGATTTTCCTACTGGCTTCCCCCCTCCCTGAACCCCACCTCCAGGCTGCAGACACCCTGACCTATGAGCTCATCACCCCTACAGACTGAGGCCGAGAGGAGCCGTCATGGCCCGAGGCTGAGGCTTCTGTGCTCTTCCCCTGGCTCCCCGCTTAGTAGGAGTCTTTCTTTACTGGGGGGTCATGAGTGGCTGGAAGATTTGTGTCTTCTGAGGCGCCCTGAACGGGGAGGAGGAGCAAGGCCAGCCTGGCACTCCGAGCAGGGTGTGTTTGTGTCTGTGTGGGGTCACCGCAGCTGCTGGCTTGCAAGGCTTACTGTTGGGGTGCACCGATGTGACAATACCCGGACACCACAGCGAGTAACCCTTTATGTCCACCCTCGGCTGGGCAGAGAAGCCGTGCAGACGAAACTGCTCTGCCTGAGGTCCAGGCCTCCATGGTCTCCATCTTTGGGTAATGGTTCCTGCCCCACCCCACCCTTGGGAGTGTGCTGCTGTCCCATGGCGGAACACTATCCTGCCTCACAGGCTTCTGGGGACAGGACAGGTCCCTGTGACTCTGTGCTGGGCTTTAGACCAGACACTATAGATGCAGGTGTGTGGAGCCACAGGCCGGTGGGGTGATGGAGGGAGCCAGTGCTTCGACCCTGATCTGCCCAGCCTGAGACAGATGGGGGCATCAACCTGAAGCGCTGGGCAGGGAGTGGTATGAGCAGCCCGCTGGGCCTGTGCAAGAGCAAAGTTGCCCCTAACGGGGCGACAAGGTGGCATCCACGTCACAGGGAAACCCAGGACAAGAGGTTACTTGAGAGATGTCAGCACGCACAGCCGGTGGGCAGAGGCCTGCCGTGGGCCCAGCTTCGGTGTGGCACAGCCCGCTGCGGACACTGCGACCCTTCGGTGGCTTTGGGGCCAGAAGAGACCTGCGGCACTGCTGACTTTAGTGCCCTTGATAAATACTGTTTAAAAATCCAGCAAGGAAGGGCAAGTGTAAAATATCCTCTTCCCAATGAATTAATTATTATGGGTCAGGTTTTTGGTTTTGGTTTTGGTACCAGGACTCGAACTCAGGACCTCGTGCTTGCCAGGCAGGCGCTGTGCCGCCCAGCTACCTGCGGCCATGAATGTCATTATTATATGTCACGAACATTTACTGATTAAAAGAAAGGAGCTATGAGGGCTGAAGGAAAGTCTAACGGGCCACGCAGGCCGGCCGAGGTGCACCTCACCAGCTGCATGAGCTGCGCACCTGGGCAGGGAGCCCCTTTGCTGGCCGGGAAGGAAGGACACTGCTCAGCTTCCAGGCCGGCCCAAGGCCCCAAGGTCGCTCCCAGAGGGAGCCTCCCCAGGGCACCCCGGGGGCAGCTGCCCAGCCGTCTCGGGGAGCCCACCACCCTGGGTGCCCATTCTGGGGCTCTGGATGAGGCCGCACCGCGGGCCCCAAGGGAGGCGTGGAGGAGCCCCGCCTGCAGGGCCCGGCCTCAGACCCCCCCATGTTTCTGTGCCCGTCCAGGACGGTGGTGTGCAGCGACCCCGACATGACCCTGCCGCCCGTGGCCCTGCCCGCGGACACGCGCCGCCTACGCCTGGAGCGCACGGCCGTGCGCAGGCTGCCCGCCGAGGCTTTCCGCGCGCTGGGCCGCCTGGAGCAGCTCTGGCTGCCCTACAACGCGCTGGGCGAGCTCAGCGCGCTCCTGCTGCGCGGCCTGCGGCGCCTGCGCGAGCTCCGGCTGCCGGGGAACCGCCTGGCTGCCTTCCCCTGGGCTGCGCTCCGGGATGCCCCCCAGCTGCGGCTGCTGGACCTGCAGGCCAACCGCCTGGCCGCCGTGCCCGCCGAGGCCGCGCGCTTCCTGGGCAACCTCACCTTCCTGGACCTCTCCAGCAACCAGCTGCTGAGGCTGCCGCAGGAGCTGCTGCTTGCCTGGGCGCAGCTGAAGAGCGGGCCCTTCCTGCCCGGCCTCCACGCCAGGCTGGTCCTAGGTAAGAGGTGGCCAGGAGGGCTGCACCTGGAGCCTCCGGGTGAGCCCGGGTCTTGGCCAAGCTCAGAGCCACTTTGGGTCTTGTTCCTTAGCTGGAGAGCAGAAACCATACCCGCCTCCGCAGGTTGGGTGCAGAGGGACGGGTCCTGCAAGGCGAGTGCTGGGGGCTCCAACCCCAAGGCGGACTCTGCCCCGTTCACAGTGCTGGGTTCAAGGAAGTGAGACCCAAGAGGTTTCTGTCCTCTGGCACCAGCCCGCGACTCCCTGGGACTCAGTGTCCCAGCTTAGGCCTGCATGGGTCGGCCCTGGAACCCACCAGCCTCTCTCTTCCGGACCCTCGTCTCTAACCCAGCCAAGGCTGAGTAGGGGAGCCAGGACCCCTTTCCCCCCAAGGTCCTGCCTGTGGGACTTGCCCGCAGACCCAGATAGTCGACTTGATTGTCCAGCTCAGAGGTGAAAACGTGTAGACGTTTGAGACCTCGCAGAAAAGACCAATGACCACTGTCTCCTCTTGCTACTCTAAGCCCCTGGCTCGCTCCCCGAAAGATAGGCTCTCATCACATTTGTTACAAATTAACTGTTTACAGTACTCAGGCACACAGATACACACACACACACACACACACAGAGTGGTGCACACAAGTGCGCCCATAAGCACAAGCAGAGGCACACGTTAAGGTTATTTTTTATAAAAAATTTCATTATGTATATTAATCAACACTATCTTTCTCATCCAATCATAATCTTGGAAATCTGCTGAATTACTACAGATAGAACAGGGTTGCCTTTTAAGAACGGCTACACCATATTCTATAATTCTAGTATAGATTTTTTACCCATTCCTCCTCCAGTGGCCTTTGGAATAGTTCCGCTATTTTGTTAACCCCTTTGGTGCTACGGGGGAAGAGAGGGGGTCAGGGGCTGCGCAGAGATGAGCTTCCAGTTCTTTAAGAATGCCCAACCCTGGCGTAAAAAGGACCGGGCCAGTCAAGGAATCTGATGTCCCAGCCTCTTACTCCGCCTTGTACCACTTGAGGCTAGGTCAAAGAAAAACAGATCAGAGTCAGGACTGTCACTGCTGGGGAGATCCGGCATGGAAAGTGACACATCCTGGGAGGACAGGGATCAAGGGAAGCATTTTTAGAAAGTGTTTTGAGATATTGATGATATTGCAAAAAGTCTTCCCGGACAGACTCTTGAAAGGCTTAGTTTAGGGGCGGCAGACATAATCGCCAGTTTCGCTGGCACACTGTGTGGCCTGCCTCACGCTCAGGGTGGACCTTGACACAGCAATCCTATGGGGAAGTAATGCCATCTTGTAGGATGAGGATGAGGTGTATCGTCATGCGGTTGTCAAGGCAGGAGCCAGGCCTGGAGGCCAGTTCTGCCCACTCTGGGCTGAGAAGTTCCCCTCTCCTCACTGAGGGCACAGAGGGCCGGGCCTGGGGATCCGGGTATCTCGGGCCACTTCTGGCCTTCTGTCTCCTGCAGGGCTGCAGGACAACCCCTGGGCCTGCGACTGCCGACTCTACGACCTGGTCCATCTCCTGGACGGCTGGGCCCCCAACTTGGTCTTCATCGAGGCCACACTGAGGTGCGCCAGCCCACGCAACCTGGCCGGAGTGGCCTTTAGCCAGCTGGAGCTGAGGAAGTGCCAAGGGCCAGAGCTCCGTCCAGGGATGACCAGCATCAGGTCCCCTCTGGGCGGCTCCGTACTGCTGCGTTGTGGAGCCACCGGGGTCCCTGGGCCTGAGATGAGCTGGAGAAGGGCCAGTGGGCGCCCACTCAATGGCACAGGTGGGTGACTGATAGGGCCTCTCCCTAAGCCCAGGACTGGGGCCTGCGGGTCGGCATCACAGCAGGGAAGTGGGCAAGACCGGGGGAGCCCTGCTGGGCTGGTGCCCATCTGCCTGACCGGAGCTGAGCGCATCTGTCCAGGGCCTGAGCCTGGCGACGGGGTTTAACACCGAAGCTGGCTTCCACCTGTGCTGTCACGTGCGGCCAGCCTGTGTCAGAGACTCAGGTCATCACGGGAGGAATACAAAGCTGACCTTTTGGTAGCAGATACTGTTACTGCACTGAACCCAGTTGCACATATTAAGCCAGTGTCAGCAGAAAAAACCGGGGACATGGGTGACCACAGTTGGGCTCTTCCTGCGGGCTTTCATTCCTGCCCGTCATGTCTCGGGGTGGCCTGGGTACCCTTGTTTTTGCACCTGAGGGAGCAGAGGCTCTGGGAGGCTGCACGCCTGGGCGACACTGCACAGCGCGCAGAGGCAGATCCCAGCACCACTCTGGTAGTTCCCAAGGGGGTGGTATTTCGGGGAGGCTGTGTGGACAGACAACCCAGGTCTGTCATGGGGGCGTTCATGGGCAGGCGTCACACGGTCAGCCTCAGGCAGAGAGAGGGTGGTGGATTTCATAACACCAAACTGGAGACCCTCGAATCCTCCCCTGCCTCCCACTCCTGGGACTTCCTCTCGCTAGGCTAGCTAAGGTCGCCCTCAACAGTGGCTCTGAAATCAAGCTAGAAACAAAAGGGCCCAGGAAGCCGCCCGTGTGAGGCTAGGGTGCTCCGAGCAAGGCAGCCGAGGTGAGCAGGGGCCTCTGGCGGGGCCTCGAGTTCAGGTTCACCCCGATTGCTTCTGGGAGGCCTCTGCAGGGCTCACCGCTGCCAAACCCCAGGCCCCCAAAGAGCATGCTTCAAACATCTCAGAGGCGTGGGATGTGATCAGAAAGCACTATGAACACCCAAACTCTAACCGTGACAGTTGCTGTTCATTCCCCAGTGCTCTAACCCCCTTCGCTTCAAATACTTGCACCCCATTGTTCTCAATGTGCCTCTCGCTGTAATAAGATTTTTCAGTTCTTGATAATCGTGCCTCCGATAAATCTCATCGACTAGACAGTGCCACGGAGCACAGCTATCCTAGGATTTAAAAGTATAAACGTGCACCCCAATTGTTTGATCACCCCTATTAGGAGGCAGTTTGCTCAATAAGCTCCCCCTCAGCCTGGAGCTCCACGGGCTCCTCCAAAGTGGACCCCGTGTCCTCTTGACCCCCTCAGCTGGTCTGAGCCAGGGTTATAAGCTGTCAAGGTGAAGACCTGGGCACTGAATGTTGAAAGCCCTCTGCTGGCCAGTGTCACAGGGTACCCGGTACCGGTACCAAATGGGCCACTCAGGGACCTCGAACTGGCTCTGAAAGAGACCGAGAGCCCGGTGGTGCATTCACACCCCATCTGCCTCTTCTCCCCTCCCAGTGCACCAGGAAATCTCCAGCGACGGCTCAAGCTGGACTCTCCTGGACCTGCCCGCCGTGTCACACTTCGATGCCGGAGACTATGTCTGCCAGGCCAAGAACTTCCTGGGGGCCTCGGAGACGCTCATCTCTGTGATTGTCACTGAACCCCAGACTCCCACAGAGGACAGCGCAAGCCCAGGGGAGCGGTGGACAAGGACAGGCGTCGAGGGAGAGGCGGCCGCATACAACAACAAACTGGTGGCCAGGCATGTGGCCCATGCACCGGAGCCCGCCGTGCTGGCCGCGGGGCCCTCTGCACCCCGCACAAAGGGCGAGCTGGACCTGCAGCACCTCCAGGTGGACGCACTCAGCGAGCTGCAGGATGGGCAGGAGGCGCACGTGGTGAGGTCGCTTAAGGTGGTGGGGGACACCTACGACAGCGTGTCCCTGGTGTGGAAGGCGCCCCAGGCTGGGAACGCAACCGCCTTCAGCGTCCTTTACACCGTCTTCGGGCAGCATGACATGCAGCGGGTGACCGTGCAGCCAGGCGTGACCAGCGCCACCATCCAGGGGCTGGTGCCCAAGACCAAGTACGTGGCGTGCGTGTGCGCGCGGGGCCAGACGCCGCGCAAGGAGCAGTGCGTCATCTTCTCCACCGACGCGGTGGTGGACGCCGAGGACACCCAGCGGCTCATCAACGTGGTGGTGATCAGCGTGGCGGCCACCATCGCCCTGCCGCCCACGCTGCTCGTGTGCTGTGGGGCGCTGCGCAGGCGCTGCCACAAGTGCCGCGCGCGGGGCTCCGGGGAGGCGGCGGGCTCCTACGTGCACCTGGAGAGGCTGGCTCGCGGGGAAGACGGCTCCGAGACGCTGTCGCGGCAGAGCCTCAGTGGGGAGGCCGACAGGCTTCTCTCTGCGCGCTCCAGCCTGGACTCGCAGGCGGGCAGGCGCATCAATGAGTACTTTTGCTGATGCCACCAGCCGCTGCGCCCGGATGGCTGGGACCCACAGTCCCGCCACCAACTGCTGAGGCTTACAAAATGCTTCCTGGGTTCCTGGAGGTGTTCTTCGCTCTTTATCTTAACTCGTGTGACCTATAACAACCATTTGTAAAAGGCACCACTTTTTCCTCCCTTTTCCTGGAGGAGAAACAGGAGGTTAAGCAATGTATGTGTGTCGGTCAGTTTTGCTGTGTAACAAATAAAAGCAAAAGCTCTGTGGTTACACTTACTTTCACACCAGTGGGTGTTAGGCTGACTGGAGTGGCTCTTCGCTGGGTGTCCCATTGTGAGCCAGGTTGGAGAGTAGCAGTGGCCATCTGGGGCAGGCCTCTTGCAGGACAAGGTCAGATAACATCAGAGAAAGGAGCCAAATTGCAATGTGATGCCTCTTAGATCCTTACCGGATATTGGCACCTGGCAGCTTCTGCCCGTATTCTGTCTGCCAAAGCAAGTCTCGTGGCCAAACCCAGCTCACACAAGGTGAGTAAGGACACTCCTCCTTGGAGGTGGTGACGAGCTGAAATATTTGCCGAGCAGGTTCATGTTTGCTACATCACCCACCGAGCAGTGACAGCTCCGGAATCCACCGACGGTCTTCTGCTCCCCGTCTGTGTCTTAGGACTCTGAAGCTAAGTCCTGGGCCCTTGCACGTGCAGCATGTGTGTGAGCCACATTGGAGTCACTTCCTCTGCCACACACCCGCTCTGGGCACCCACACTGTGCCCTCACTGAGCTGTAGCGTTTGCTGAGTGATAATCTGGCCACGGATGATAATTCAGTCTGATAAACTCTGGAGACTGGGTGATATCAGAGGGGCCACCGTTTTATCTGTCCCCAGCATGTCCTGCCGGAGACATCTGAGAGCCTCTTAATAGCAGAGGACACCATCACGTCCCGTGCCATCTGGGGCCCACTCACTCCTGTCCATAGTGACTCTTACTGAAACTTACCTGCCATTGAGAGAGTCTTTCAGGCTTCCTGGCTTCCTGTTCAGGGCTGCCTAAAGCTAGGGGAGTGCTGAGCTCAGGAGAGGGTTCTCAGCAGGTGCCTCCAGCAAGGGCAGCACCCAGGGTGCCTGCTGTCCAGCCTTTGGGTAACAAGTGAAGACATTTGGGGACAGCAAGTGGCCCGTGGGAATTTTTTTCTCATCATATAAGAGACTCCACTTCATGCTGAGCGTTTTCTAGGCAAGAAGCATTACCTGTCTCCATCTGTGGTCTGCAGATGTTTTCTTTAAAGAAACCAGACCGTAAAGAGTCTCATGTCAGTCGCTGCTTCTCAGCTCTGCTGATGGAGGGCAAGAAGCAGGCACAGAGGGTGTGTCGTTAGTGGCACAGACCCATTCCAGTAAAAAGCTGTCTGTGAAAACAGTGACCGGGTCTGACCCGCAGCCTGCGCTTTGTCAGCCTTGGTCTAGATTTGTGTAGGTTTTTTACTGTGTCTTAAGGACTCATTCCAGATTGTTTGGTCAGTAGGAGTGACAGACAGCTCCCTACTGCTGAATTAGAACAAATGCAGTCACAAATGGATGAAAATAGCCACTTGTTGAAATAATCAATATGTTATTTAAATGATTATTGGAGTCACCCAAGATTGAAAGGTGATTGACCAAATGACAACTAATATCCACCTAGTTGTACTAAATTGTTTGAAGGAAAGTTAGAAAACTGAAAGTCAGAAGTAGAGAGTGAGAGGAAGAGGGAGAGACAGAGAGACAGAAAGAAACAGAGAATAGAGACAGAAAGAGACAGAGACAGGCAGAGACAGACAGAGACAAAAAGAGACAGACAGAGAGACAGAGACAGACAGAGACAGGCAGAGAGACAGAGACAGACAGACAGAGAGAGATAGCATACAGACAGAGACAGACAGAAAGAGACAGAGACAGACAGAGACAGAGAGAGATAGCAGACAGAGACAGACAGAGACAAACAGAGAGATAGAGAGCAGACAGACAGAGACAGACAGAAAGAGACAGAGACAGAGACAGACAGACAGAGACAGACAGAGAGACAGAGAAAGAGACTTCAAACTTTCCAGTGACTCATTAGGGCTTTATCTGATAACTTTTATCCTTGTGGCCCAGACGGTCATGAGTCCCAGAATGGTCAGCCTCCCCGTCCTCAGCTGTTAATCTTCACTTCATGTTTCTCCTGTAAGAAAGAATCAGTCTGGATTGTGCTCATGAATATTTAAATCAGTTAAAAATTCCCACGGTAAGAATAAACGGTGTCTGGTTTATATATTCATCTTCTGGTGTATGTCTGGTTGTGGGAGTCGGAATGATCCTGTATGTCCTGCACAAGGAATTTCGGGTCCTGCAGTGCTGTATCCAGTGCTGTGGTCCCAAGACATGTGGCCTCCAGAGCCTCCTTTGGGCTTGGATGGAATCACAGCACACTCGTTGTGTCTCTTCCTGACAGCCGTGTGGTTTCTTTCCTCTTGACCTGGCAGAAGACATGTCCAGTGTCCCTCATCTGCAGCTGCCATCTCAGTTTCCAGGTTCACAAGGGCAGACAGCAGGTGTCCTGGTGTCCAAGCACAGGATTCAGGGAACGGTTTGTTCAAGACCAGAGCTGAAGATTTTGGGTTTAACTATCTTGAAGTCTGGTAAAGACCAACATGAATGGTAAACACTTGAGTATGTTTATTGAGTTGCAGGGGCATCGCAGGCAGGACAGGGTGGGCTTAGGCTTCACACACGATGCTCGATCGCTGCTCTCACCGAGTCTGCTTCAGTGAGCCTGTGGAGTGTCGCAGAGCTTCATGTGTTCACTCAAGGATTCAGGACAGTGGAGGCCTCACCACCTGGGCACCCACAGTTTCCTCTAGCTGTGGGGATGTTTTCTCTAACCGTTCGGCACCCAGGACACGGGGTCCCCGCCCTGCGCAGTTCAGGGTGCTTGAAAACGTGGTCTTCATTGTACCTATGCAGGTGCACCCTGAGCCACCTCACATGGCCAGCAGCAGAAGGAGGACGTGGAAAGGAGAAAAATGGACAATGTCTGGTCCCTGACAGGTTGTCCAGGTCTCTAGACTCTCAAAGTTTGGCTGATGCTTGGGATGCAGAGGCGTTTTCCAACTGAAAACAAAGGGCGATCTCCTGTTAAGGGTCTTTTCGGACAAGCCAGAGAACTGCCTCCGGCAGCTGCTGATACCTTTTTCATATGCACAGAATAAGCCTTCTCCCATGGCTTTGTCTCTATCAACAACTCTGAGAGCTGAGTTCCCGCAGGAGAGGAGATGGCCTTGAAATAGTCACAAATCCCTTTTGTTGCCAGTGTTTCTTGAGTTTGGTGAGTCCACATAACTACAAGTGACCTAAGCTGACTGCACAACCCAGGCCAGCTTTATTTGTCGTTAGTCCCCAGCTTTAACTCCCAACACAGCTGCTCCCTGCACCCCTACCCCAAACAAGAAAACCAGAGAAGTCAGGAGGGGAGGAGGGCCAGAGACGGGGCCCCAGGGACTCCAGAGACCACGTGCCAGCTGGGTGCTTTACCCAAGTCCTCAGCCACCGTCGGGAAGGTTCATGGAGCTGGGATGATGTGAAAAGATGAACGTGGAATGGCAAGAGAAGAAATTATAGGAAAGGAAGAAGATTCTTTAGGTTTTTACATTATGAGATAAGAGGGGAGAAAGGCCTTTGCTAGTGGTTTGGACACCCACAAGCTGGCTCACATATTTCCGTGACAAGCCTGATAAAGGCTTGGCAGATGTGAAGAGTGAACTGACAGTCATCGTGCCCCCGTTGTACCAGACTGGCCATCTCTAAAGCCTCACCATCTCAGCCCCAAGTACGGGGTGCTTAGGGAAGGCCACAACCTCAGACAAGCACCACTACAGCTGAGCATCAATTCATCTCTTGAAAGGAGATCCAGGCAGTGCATTTCACGCCCACCCTAAACTTTGTGCCCACAGAGCTGTGTCTATGCTAGAGACCCACCCAGACGGGAGGGTGAGCCTGGGAATGCTGGCAAATATATCTGGTGCTGAGCAGAAACCTGGGATGAAATCAGCTTAGCTGGCGACCTATTTCCTTCCCACTGGTTAGCCGCTAAGCGGATTCTTTTTTTGTTGTTGCTGAGGCTTTTTGTAGGGTTCTCGTGAGTCTTAAAGGAAACCCCTGTATTTCAGTGTGCATGTGAAAGTGTCTCTATTGGCTGGAAAGTGGGTAATTCTGTTCTTCAAGTCTCTGTTGCTATGCAAAGTGAATTACCAGGCAACGTCTACACCTCGGTGCTTTATTTTACATAGTGTAACATTTCCTAGGAACACGGTTATTCATTAAAACACTCACTCTGCAGAAGAGAAACTTAGACTTACAGACATTGAACACACTGCAAAAACCTCAAACTCAGGAGCATAAGCAACAAAGCCGCCTGCAGGGTGCCAGGTCCGTAACAGTGTCGCCCACCACTTCATTTCTTGCACCTCAAAAATGTCTGGCCAGAGTGCATGAGCAAAGACTACGTGTCGAGCAAGTGAAGTTTACAGAGAAAGCACCACAAAGCATGTGCATACCATTTTAAAAAGTAAGTATCTCATTTGGTGCAAAGCAAAATACATGGCATTCAGGAAAAGTCCAAGAAAATGACACGGGTTGGATTTTATCAGAAAATGCCGATTGTATTTGCAGCTGTACTGTGATGTTTCTCTATGTCTGGCCCCAAAGATGAAGATGCTATTGTTGGCATGCTGTGAAGGTATAACCCTCCAGGGTTCTGGGGAGAGCAGCCATGATGGGAACGACCAGAGTTAGACCATCTTCTTTCACTTGGAGAAAATGGTTGAAAATTCTGGTTTGGGAAACCGATGGTGAGTGACGAGGTATTAGATGGACTCTGGTCAAATCCTCTGCTGGGTGCTTGGAAAAGCACTAGCTTCCCGGTCCCAGTTTCCTTGGCAAGGCGATCAGAGAAGAGTTTGGGTGTCTGACTTAGAGTTTGCTCTCCGGACTCAAGAGCCAGACAATGGGTGGCTTTTCTGGCTTAGTTGAGACACGTAGCTCTCTCTGCCTGAACCTGTGATCTGTGCTGTAACAGACCCCAGAGTATCCAGGGGCTTTGGCTGTGCTGACCTACATGACCACGGATCACCGTGGATTACCCGTAATAGGATTTGCCACTGGGAAGCTGGGGGAAGTGATTAAAAACACACAGGATTCCTTACACAGAAATATGGCTGCAGCTTTTCGGTATTTGCTTCTAGTTCTGGAATTTCTGGAAACGCGTGCATCTCAGGCTTCCTGTGTGCCCGGATGCACCTGCTCACAGGAGAGTGTCGGCAGGTGTGCAGTGCTGGCAAGACATGGGCTTCGCGGGCGTGGAGGTTGCTCAGGGCTGCACAGAGTGGGCAAAGGCTTAGAATTGGCAGGAAATCAGCAAAATTTCCAAGAGACCCATTTTAATTGGAGTTGCACTTTGGTGAACTTTTTATCTAAATTGGTCTCTTTTATTTCAAATAAATATTTTTCTAAGTCCCATCAGGGTCCGCTGAGTACTATTTCCCAGTTTCTCGATGTTCCTCTTAAAGCTGTTCTGGTTTTTTGCACAGGACTCTGTCATGCACCTCTATCTCTTCGGGAAACATTCCAGGCAACCTTCCTGAAGAGTTCAAGCAAGTGCGAATCGAAAACTCCCCCTTATTTGAAGTCTCCCGGGGCTCTTTCAGCAACATGAGCATCGTGCAATACCTTTGGCTCAACTTCAGCAACGTCACCGTGATCCATCCAGGAGCCCTGGACCAGCTGCGGGATCTCAGGGAGCTGCGTCTGCAGGGGAACAAACTCCGGTCAGTACCATGGACAGCGTTCCACGCCACCCCTCTCCTGAAGGTCTTGGATCTGAAAGGCAACAGGATCGATGCACTTCCGGAGCAGGCGCTGCAGTTCCTGGTGGGCCTCACCTTCCTTGACCTGTCTTCCAATAGGCTGACTGTTGTGTCCAGCAGTGTCTTCGGGAACTGGCTGACCTACCAGAAGCACCGGCATCCTGTGTGTGGGGTAGAGAGTCTCTCCACCCTGGTGATGGCGCTGCACGACAATCCCTGGGAATGTGACTGCCGACTAAGGGGGCTCGTCCAGTTTGTCAAGTCTATTAGCTTCCCAGTCACCTTGGTGAACACCTACCTGATATGCCACAGTCCTCTCTCCAAGGCAGGGCAGCTTTTGCATGAGATCGAGCCCAGTGTTTGCATGAAGCCAAAGATCTCAACCCCCAGTGCCAATTTCACCATCGAGGCAGGACAGAATGTGACCCTACGGTGCGTGGCCCAGGGCAACCCCTCACCAACCATTGTGTGGTCCTACCCCCTGAGCAGGTGGAGAGAATTTGCTGGTAAGCTGTGTGCATCCTCTCAGTCTCTCCCAGAGGAACGGACAGGTGTGCAGTAATTCTGCCTCACTAGGAAGGGTCCCAGATGTGTCTGTCATGACAGGCAGGTGCAGGCAAGATCAGAACAGGCCAGGATTAACTCTGCAGAACAGAAGAGGTTCCAAGAGAGGCTTCCACCAGTGAAACTGTTTTAAATGGCTGCATATAGATATCTTTGAGCCATTTATATTTAAATACATATTGAGGCTGATTTTTAACATAGCATCTAAATGTTATAGAATTGCATATCAACAAATATATCATCTGAGACCCTTTTAGATGCAAAGCAACATATGAATTTTAGAATCCTACAAATGCCAATTAGAACAGATTCTAGACAGTATCAGAATTATCGATTTCCTAAAAGTGCCATAGCAGAATTGCTTGGGGTGTTTTTTGAAATAAGATTTCCAAGCCCTCGTCTCTTGGGTCAGTGACTGAAAACATGAACAAAAGAGTAGCTAGCTCCTCCACCTCCAGTTAATTCTTAACATCGAGCAAAGATGGGAAAGTCCTAGATATTGACTGAATTTTCACTTATTACCACTGTGTTATCAGACTTTATTAGCTTGACTTTTTGCTGTTGTGTTGTATTGTTTTGCACTCTTAAAATTTGAACCCAGGACCTTTGTACTGAACCACATCCCCAACTCTTTTCTTTTTTTACTTTTTATTTTGAAACAAAGTTTTGCTAAGTCACTAAGTCGATGGAGCTGGGGTTAAACTTTCCATCCCTGACTCAGCTTCCGAAGGTGCTGGATTACAGGGTTGATTAGCTTGAAACTGTAATACTGAGGCTCAGGAGGAGGAAATGATCTCCTTGGGCCAGGAACACGGATTTAAACCTCTCTTTTTTCCTGGAGCCACATACTCGGGAGCCCCCAGTGGGCTGAGCATATCACAAAGCCAGCTGTGGCCTCCACAGGAGTAGCTTGAATCTGGAAGGATATCTATAGTTTCTTGCATCTTCCTCTATTTGGAAGGCAAGTGAAATGTCAGGGTAACTCTTGGGAAATGCAGTCAGCACCCAGAGGGTTGTCACACATGCTGACAGACCTCAGAGCAGAACAAGACTAGTTCATTTGGTTCACAGACTGTGTCCCTCTGCCACCGTTCTGATCACACCCTGCTGGCTGGAGGGCACGTGTGGGGATTATTGCTGTAGTCTTTGAAAGCCAGGACAGGTACCAGAGTTCGACTTTGGAGATGCTCCGTGATCACTCTGGTCACCGTGTGGTATCCAGTCTCCCAAAAGTAACAGTGATGGGTACCGAGCACTCAGTACCAAACCTGCGCCCCTCTGGTCCCCGTCTGCTGACGAGGAAGGTGAGGCCAGGAGAATGCAGGCTCCTTGCGCAGGACCACTCACTTCTGAAGGCGCAGGAACCCAGGCCTTGACTCCAGGCTGTGAGGCACCACACGCCTAGGAGGCAGGAGAGCACCGCTGGGGACCCAGAACTGCTGGATCACTCAACTGTGGGAAATGGACAGGAAGCCAGGGCATAGGCTGAGTAGGACCAAGCTAGGGGGTGGCTAGGCTTCCTAGGGGCCACCTGGTTCCACATCAGTGCTGCTGGGCCCCTCTCCATGTAGCTAAACTCATGAGTCTAGCTAATCCATCCTCCACAGATTTTCTGGGTGAGCCTGGGGCGTCAGGCATATGCTCAGTAAATGGTTAGCAGTAGGCATGATGGTGCATGCCTGGGATCCCAGCACTCTGGGAGGCTGAGGCAGGAGGTTGGTAAGTTGGAGCTCAGCCTGGACAACTTGGTGAGTTTGTGAATCTTTGTCTCAAAATCTTTACAAAGGGCCAGAGATGTGGCTTGGTGGGAGAGCCCTGCGTTCACTGCCAAATAACTCTCAGGTACCGCTGGGCGGCAGCTCCCAGCTGTCCACGGCAGAAACGCGCAGCTGTCCTGCTCTTCCTTCCACAGTGTTGACCTCGTCTGCTGTGGAAGACGCCGTCCTGTCCGAGCTGGTCATCCCCACGGCGCGCCAGGTGGACAGCAGTAACTACACCTGCGTGGCCTCCAACGCCGTGGGCCGCAGCGCCCTGACCATCTCCCTGCACGTCCGGCCGGCCCGGGGGTGGCCTGCAGCCGCTGCTCCCTCCGCGGCCCACGTGGAGCTGCGTGTGGCCGGGCACACGGCGCGCGGGGTCCTGCTGGAGTGGCTCGCGGTGGCCCGTGCCCCGCGGGAGCAGGGCTTCACGCTGCGCATCGCCGCGCAGTCGGCCGGCCGGGAGGAGGTGGTGCACCTCGGCCCCGGGGTGCGCTCCTACGCGGCGCAGGACCTGCTCCCTGGCACCCGGTACGAGGCGTGCCTGAGCCCGGGCAGCCGCAGCCCGCGCCGCGGCCCCTGCGTGGTCTTCGTGACCGGCAGCGTGGGCGTGGGGCCGGAGGGCCGCAAGCGCCTGCTGCATGCCACGGTGGTGCTGTGCGCCCTACTGCTGGCCCTGCCCGCCGTGGGCGCCTACATGTGGGCAGCGCAGGGCGCCTGCAGCCGCAGTCCGGGCTGCTGCCCTCGCCGCCAGAGACCCCCCAGGTGTCCTCCAGCGGGGCCCCCACGCAAAGACGGCTCCTTCAGGGACCGCGTGGACAGCCACCGGGACCTGCGGGGGCACTGCGATGACCGCAGCTGACCGGCCAGGCCTGGGGAGGAAGGGGCTGTGTCCAGGCTCTGAGACCCCGCTCGCACTGTGGTCCACGCGTGGGCAGCACTGCACGCCTTTGCTGGGCACCCGCAGCGTGCCAGACCGAGGGCACAGAGGTCGCCAGCACGGGGGGGCCCCCCCGCAGTCCTTCTCCTCCGGAGCTGAGGCCCACGGACCTCCGACCCAGCCCGCGGACTGCTTCCCTACTCACCTCGACTGGAAGGGAATCCATGCAGCAATCTGCATTTGCACGGCCCTAGCCCAGGTACACGACTACACGGGCACTGACATACATTTGACATGGCTTGTCCTGTCAAATGGAAGCGTGAATGCCCTGTCTACAGGCGAAGAAGCTTAAGCCTGGGAGTTCAGTGATTTCCCCAGCATTGCCATCTGGAGGTGCCCCTCAAAAGAGACTATTATGCCCAAGGAGGCTGAGGCAGGAAGCTTGCAAACTCAAGCTGAGCCTGCGCAACTTAGTGAGGCCCTTCACGAAAATAAAAAAGGCTGAGTTCAGTGCAAAGGCCCCGGGTTCCACCCCCACGGCCACAGACACACACTGCTCCCACTATTCTCATCAAATAGAGGCAGCAGGGCAGGGACCGACCTTTCTCACCAGGCCGCTACACTCATCCATCACTAGGGTCAGTGATGATGGAAAAAAAACTTTTAAGGGGCTTTTTTTTTTTTCTTTTTCCTTTTCGGTACTGGGAATCGAACTTAGGGATTCATGCTTACCAGTCAGGAACTGCCCCACTGAGCTACATCCCTGGCCCAAAAGAATTTTTTAAACACAAGCCTCACTTTTGTAGTTCAGGCTGGCCTTGATCTCACAGTGATCTTCCTGCCTCAGCCTCCTGAGTGCTGGGATTACAAGTGTGCACCACCATGCCCGGTGGTGGAAATAAATTTTTAACAACTCAAGACGGCATGCATCAGGGTCTCCTTGGTTATAATCTTCTGGCCGCCGTGCTGTGTGAATCTCACATTTTCTTTCCCCATTCCGGGCAGCAGACACACAGAGAGTTAGTTCACTGATCAGCTGTGAGGGGACTCTGGGGCGGGGCAATACAGGGTGCTTCTAGGCCTCCGAGGGTTCCTCCCACAGCGTCTAGGGTGGGCTTGGGCGGTGCAGCCTTCAGGAGGTGACCTCCTGCCCCCTGGAGGCTGAGAGCGCATTCTCAGATTGCTCCCGCAGAGGAGCTTGGGAGCCGGACCTGGGCCAGGGGCCGGGAGGAGGGAAGGGGCCACCACGCAGGAGCCAACCCAGCAGCAAGAGCCAGGGTCCTGGGCGAGCCGGACATCCGGGGTGGGAAGGGGGATATGGTTGGGCAGGAGAGCTGGGAATCCCACAGTGTTTTTCAGGTTTATTTTTCTGAGTCCGTATTTCCATATAGCGGCCGCTAAAGTGAAGAAACCAGCTGCTTCCCGTGTTGCTAGGCTATGACGCTGGTAAGTTAGGAGTCTAAAACGCTTATTACCTACTGTGGTGCGGGGGATCCGACCCAAGGCGCTTGCAGGGAGCTACCTCCTCAGCTCACACTTTATTTTGTATTTTGAGACAGGGTCTCCGTAAGTGGCTCAGTTTCCCTGGCTGGGTTTCAGTTTGTGATCCTCCGGCCTCAGCACCCCAGAATCCTCGCATTATGGGCATATGGCGCCACATGTAGTTTTAAATACATTTTTTATGTATTTTCAACTAGCTACAGGTTTCCCCTTCGCAAGCAGAGGAGGCTCTGCACGTGGAACAGCATGATAGCCACACAGATGTCTCTCTCGGGTTCTATTTAATTTACGCTTTTGGGGAAATTCTTTTTTAAAATTGTTTTAGTAGTGTTCCTTTGTGGTGCATAAGCTTTGCATTTCTTGTGAAAAGTGGCCACGTGTGCTCCACACATCTTGATTCCTTTAATCTCCTTCCCCAGCCCTCCCACCAATCTCTCTATCCTCCATCTCACCTTTGAAGGATGCTGTCACTTTAGGGCCAGCTGCCGTGCTCGGAGGAGAGTCCAGGTCTCCTAACTGTACGGCCAGGGCCTTGGACTCAGGAGACAGGATTTGTCAGCAGGCTACTCGCTTTGAGAGTGAGGCCACCTCTCCTCCCAGGGCTCTGCTATTCACAGCTTGCTCGACAGATGTGGCCCTTTTCCTGTTTTCTTCTGTCTGGTGCTGCCCTGTCCCCGAGGGCCCGGTGCAGATGAGACTCAGCCCTCGTGTCTGGGCAGGGGTGATCTGAAGGAGTGGGCTGGATCCTGTTCAGCCAGCTGCATTTCCACAATTGCATGGTGTCACACTGATGTCCTGGGCATCCGCCTATTACTACTCTCCTCTATTAATCAGATTTGGTGGTTGACACCAGGGCACCTCGTTCTGGAAGCCAGGCCCTCCAGGGCCCCTGCTTAGGTCTCTCTGAGTCTCTAAGAGGATACTCAGTGTGCGCACACCAGTCTGTCTATCTTGATCTGCAGCAGCATGGTCTCCGCACTCCCTGTCCAGCCTGCCATGGCCAGGGAACTTCCAGATTGTCAGGCAGGACTGCCCCTGAGCTGGGTATGGTGCTATAGGCCTTATAGTACCAACTATGTGAGAGGCTGAGGCAGGAGGAATTGTCTGAATGCACAAATTCAAGACCAGCCTGGGCAATGTAGTGAGACCCCAGTTCCAAAACAAAGCTAGAGTCCCTGACGATACAGAGGTGGTGATGCCTCCCCAGATCTTGCTCCCCAGACTTTGCCAGCTGGCTCTGCTGCAGGACAGAGCCCCGCAGGAGTCCCTTGCTGGCCAGGGCCAGCCGTCCTCAAATGCCACCTCATAGAAGGTGACAGCGACTGTCCGCCGAGCTGGTGTGAGCAGCGGGGAAGAGCTCTGCACATATCAGCTCCCGTCAGCCTCCTGGGATGCAACTTTGCTCCCTGCATGGATGGGAAAAGTGAGGCCCAGTGTTGGGGTCTGAGCCTAGACCCCCAATCCCTTAAACAGGTGCATGGCGAAAGCTCAAAGGAATGTGGCATGGTCTTTAGGGCTATAGGAATACTCAAATCCTCGGCAGAGCCTGTAACTCTGCTGGCCAACTGGACAGCCTGTATTTAATCAGAACAAGCAAGGAGTTGCGTAGACAGTGGAGGAAACCTAAGTGGGATCTTGGGAGGGGCTCAAGGAGCCCTCATAGCGACAGAAGATGCTAATTAAGGGAAACTACCCAGAAGGTCTCCAGGTGGCCTCAGCTGCGGCCTATCTTGTCCCCTGAGGGGTCTGCTCATTCTCAGTTCAGTCATGCCCGGGCCATGCCACAGCCCTGGACATGTACTCAGCTTCATTGGCTTCAACAGCCCAGCAGACTTGGTCTCGGGCCCAAAGCCACACAAAGTGGATCCTGAACTCAAGCCGAGGGCGGGTGATCTGTAGATGCATTTTATTATTTCATATGGCCAGGAAGTCTGAGCTCAGCAGGAGCTCAGCAGGGCTTGTAGGTGATTCTCAGGGCCCGCTTGTGGGAGGCCCTGTCCAGCTGCTGCTCCTGCTTCCCAGCTCTCTCTCCTGACCTTGTGCTGGCTTGAAGGTCCAGGCCTGCCTGGGTGTAGCCGTGTGGGCAGCCGACTCACCGTGCTGGTCTGGCTCCCTGTTGTTTCTCCCAGCACTGACCGCACTGGCTGACCCCACTGGCTGATGCTGGCTTGTGCCTCTTTCCCTGTCTATGGCTCCTATTGGTCAGCTTCCTGGTCAGAGTCCCAGAGTCCACTTCCATCCCAGCTCCACGTGCCAACCTGGTTTCCAGCTCAGAGGTCTTTGTGACCCCTGGCCCAGAGACAAACCGCGTCCTTGTTCTTGTGGCCTCTCAGTTGCTGGCCCTGCTGGGCTACGCTGGGGCTCCTTACTTCTGCTCCAGATCCCCTTCCTGCCGGGCGGCCCTGCTGGGGAGGAAAAGCCACAGGAGCCTGGCATGGACCACGGCCAGGTAGATGAGTCTGCAAACATGCTCCTGTTTGACATGCCTACAGGCAATCTGGGCCAAATTTCACAGCCCCTGTTAGAGTCATATCCACGGACCTGGAGAAGTGGGCGGGCCCGAGGCAGGCTGAGCTGAGCTGTGGGTCCCGAGGCCTGGTCTCCATCAGCCAGGGAACACACCGGTAAGCAGCAGCCGGAGGTCAGCTTGTCCTTCGGGTTACAGATTTTATTCACCATTTACAAAAGAGGTGGGCTGCATGCAGGTCCTGAGAGGTAACCCCAAGGTGACCCCCAGCCCCTCCTGAAACCCGGGCTGGAAAGCACCTGTCCTTTCCAAGCTCTGGCTGCCCTAATACTGCAGATGCTGGCCAGACTTCTGCACGCTGGCACAGCTCAGTAACACTTCCACACACAGATGGCACACCGGGACTGCCACATATGCCCAGCCTCTGTGTGCACACACCTGGTGCAGTCTGGAGTGCAGATTCGGGAGTGAAGCAGAGGCTGCTCTGTGTGTGTGTGTGTGTGTGTGTGTGCGCAAGCACACAGATGTCCTCAGCTGGGGCAGAACCTCTAAATTCACCATGGTGGCCCTGCAGGCTTTCTCTCCTGGTGGACACTGTCACCTCCCAGCTAGAGGAAACTCCGAGGAGCTGGGGCCCTCAGACCTGGCCCCTGATGCCAGCACCGCCCCCCTCCCAGACTGGACACCGCTGCCCAATGCTTGATCTCTGGCAGCAGCGTGGGATGAGAGAGAAGGGACAGTGCGTGATCCAGGGCAAAGCCATCATCTGCGCTGCTGCCCCCTTGCCCAGCACAGCGCCCCCTGGGGGCACCTGGGAGAATTTCAGTGAGGACCTAGGACTTTTGGGAGGGACTGCTCTAAGTACGTAGATGCTGAGTTGCAAGAGGTTAAAGCTCTAGCCCTGCTGTTTTTCCAGGGCTTACTTCCTTCACTTTACAGACGGAGACCGTGCTGAGGGAATTCAGACAGCTTCCCTAAAGCTGGGCAGCGCGGTACATACCTGTAACCCCAGCTGCTTGGGGGGGGGCCCTGAGGCCAGAAGAGCTCCTGTTTTAGGCAGGACGGGAAACACAATGAGACCCCACATCAAAAACAGAAACCAGCATCCCCAAAGCTACACAGTGTGGACAGAGCTGGGCAGATGCAGAAGTCCCCCAGATCCTGGCCATCATCCTTGATTCCGCCCTTGAAGAGGCTCTGATGCTCTCCCTGGTGCCCCTGCTCCCCCCTCCACGATGCTCCAGCTTCTGGGCCAGGGCAGCCTGGCTGGGACATCTGCTGTGCACCTGGCCACACCCGTTCCTGGGTGATGCTGGGCCTGCTGGGTGTGCAGGGGCCACAATCTTCCTGACACCAGGTGCCGTGGCTGCCAGGGCTGTGGGCGAGGCCCTGCAGTCTGCATGAGTCCTTAGGGCGTCTCTGCCGCTGCTCGCCCCGGATCTGCTCTCCTGTGGCCTGTGCATTCCCCAGCCGTAGCCATGGCCGGGCTCAACGTCTTCCCATCCCTGCTCTTAGCCCAGGGCTCCAGGCTCTGGATGTCGCTGGTCTTGTCACCTGAGTTCTGTGACTCGGACACGAGCCCACAGTGGGGCGGTGGGACCATGAGGCATGGGTTGGTGAGAAGATGCAGACAGAAGCCTCTGGAGAGTGGGGTCACTGCAGCCGTGCCAAGACGTGGGTGGTGGGGGACCTGAGAAGTCCCCTGTTCAAAGTCCTGCCCAGCCCAGCGCCCTATACCTGGGGGAGTTTGCATCATTGTACAAAACACTGGTGACCTTCAGGAGGACAGTGTGGGGGCGCTGCAGAAACCGTGGAGTGGTCAGGGCCAAGGGGAGAGGAAGGCAAGGCCCAGGGCATCCCTAGAAATAAGCCTTCTGTTCTACACTCTTCTTCTCAAACTTCTGCTTCAGCTCAGAGACCATGGATGACCTGACAGGGTTTCCCTCAGGCTTGGATGACTGTTGGGGTTCTTGGGGGGTGAGGGACCCAGAGACTGTAGGCACCGTCCAGGGGGTGACCGTGTCGGGTGCCATTCTGGGGGGTGGAGGGAGAGCTGGGGCTCTGGGGGGCGGTGGGGCTGCTGGCCTGCTGTTTCTATGCTTCTCACTGAGGGGCTCCTCCTGGAGCATGAACTTGGTGGCCGTCTTCGTCCTCCTGAATTTGAGCCACTCGGTGCGCACGGTGCGGGGTGCAGGGCTGGGCCGCCTCCGCAGGACACGACGCACGGGCAGCACCTTGTTGGACTTCTTGTTGCGCCAGAAGGTGGCCGTGGAGATGAGGACGGTGATGGCCACCACGATGGCCATGATGCCGGCCAGCACACCCACGGCTTTCATGGGGTTGTCCTTGGTCTGCAGCAGGAAGGCGGCCATGGGGTCTCGGGACAGCGTCTGGAAGACAGAGTCACCCTGCATTCAGCTGTTCCCAGAGAATGGATGGTGGGGCGGGGGGCGGGGTGAGCTCCTTGAGCCTGATGGGGTGGTAAGGTTAATCTGGCCCAGCAGCTCTTTGAATGAAGGGGAAAACAGTTAACTTTTGAATTAAATGTCCTGCAACTGGCGATAGCCATGGCAGATTTGCCCACCTGTCTTCCACCCACACCAGGTACATGTTTCCCTCATTGAACTGTCTGCTCCCTGAACTTGTGTTATCTCAAGCACTTGCATCCTGCCACTCCGAGCTCCCTCCACCCTGAACTTGTACATTTCCTACTCCACCTTGCCTGGAGTTTGAACTTGTCTTGGTATGCAACATATACAACAGTTTTCTTCTAGGCCAATCAGTAACAATGAGCTAAGATGTAACCAATCAATACCCAGCAAAGACTCTGCTTCTGTACTTCTCGCTTGCAAACCCTATATAAGTATTAGGGTGCCAGAGATCTGGGGCCTGACACTTTGAGGGGTTGATTCCCTGTCTGGTCCATCAACATTAAATAAATCTGCCACCAAATCTCGCGTGATACTTTGGTGTTTCGGTTTGCCTCTGATCCTTTCTCCAGCCATGGCTTTGTGCCCACCTCAGTGTCTGTGATGTCAATCTTGAGTAAGGCCGTGGTGCTGAAGGACGGAGAGCCTCGGTCCTTAGCCTGCACCTCCAGGGACCACGTGTGGTCCCCACCGGGCGTGATGTTGTGCAGGGCTTCCAGGGAACGGATGGAGCTCTTGAGCCGGATCTCCCCTGTGTGTGTGTCGATGTCAAACACATCAGCCGGCTCTGCATGGGTGATGGAATAGTCCACCAGGTTGTTGGGCTCCTCGGCATCCTGGTCTGTGGCCTGTGCATGAGGGGGGACACACAGAGCTGGGCTTGGAAGAAACACATATGAACAACAGCAAAGTCAGCACAGAGGATGGGGCTTTCGGGTATCACAGGAAGTCTACTTGGAGTAGATGGAGCTGTGAAAGAACAGTGTGACCCGCTGTGTATGATCCTGGGTCCAACGTAGGCCTGTATGTGTGAACAGCTCTGGGAACGGGGTACTGGTGAATCCACATCATGAGTGCAAAAATACAAGCTTCAGTGCTGAGTGACTTGTCCAAGGGGAGAGGGAGAAGGGGAGCTGGATGCAGTCAAGGCTGCGGTTCTGAGTTCATGTTTCATCCACACTGGGAAAACAGTGTGCACGGTGGAAAAACCAGTATAGGAACTGAGGCAAGACAAACTCCTAGGCTGTCTGTGCTTTGTGTTTGCCACTGCTGTCTTCCTTCTCAGAGAGGTTTCCTGGGTTGGAGTAGAGGTGAGGGTCTGTAAGACACCTTGCAACCTACTGCCCTGGGGAGAATCCAAGTCTCACAGCTTTCACCAGAGGCAGCTCAGGGTCTCTGGCATGCGTGTCCACTGAGGCAGGCATGGCCTGCTTACTCCTAGGGTCTCTTGCAGCTGCAGGACAAGGTTCCAGGGTGCTCAGCTGCCTAAAACCTACCTCAATTTTCACCGGGGTCCCCAGCACCATGGTCTTCTTCTGGATGCTCTTTCCAAATTGGGGGTAGTGGTCATTGACGTCCAGCAGAGTGACAAACACCTCGGCCAGGCTGTACCTGCCTTCCATGTCCTCTGCCTTCACGTAGAAGTTGTACCTTGCTGTGGCCTCTGCGTCCAGGCTGGCCCAGGGCTGGGTGTAGATAAGCCCCGTGGAGGGGTGTATCAGGAACCTGCCGGGCAGAGAGCACAGGCACAGGTGGGGACATGTGCAAGCGTGCAGAGACACTGGTGCACACATGCAGTGCACACACGCAATGCACACACACAATGCACACACATAGAGGCAGGCCTGCAAAGAGGGGATGCCTCTGCAGAGCAGCAGGACACCATGCAGCTTCTCCAAGGCGCCTCCTGCTATCTAGGTCTGACTCCTCACCCATCTGGTGCTCCTGAGCTTTGCGACCCAAATCCCAGTCTCCCTGCTCCTCCATGGCCTGCTTCTGCCACAGCCCACTCCTGCCTGTCCGGTTCCTGCAGCCGGGACCCTCGCTCCACGCTGTGACCAGGACTCTCTCCCCTCCTAGTCACCTCACCGAGTGTCCCCTCACCTCTGCCTCACATCACCACTGCCTCCCTTCTCTCCTTCCTCCTTCCATTCTGCACCCCGGTCGCCCTCCCAACCCCGATCCCATCCCTTTCAGGTCCCCCTGCCTTTAGCTGAGACCGCGTCCATCCACAGCCTTCTGGCCCCTGTCCCACCCTAGTCCAGGGTTCCGGATGTACTCACAGGTCTGCCCCGGGGCCGTAGATGGAGTATTTCACCTCGCCCCAGGGTCCCGTGTCCGGGTCCACAGCCTGGAAGAGAGAAAGCTCCCAGTGGACCTGCCCCGTGGCCAGGTGGTGTGGCAGCTCCTGCAGCAGAGAGCTGCTTTCAGGGAGAGCAAGGAGACCTGGGGCTTTGCCCATCTGGGCAGGAACCGAGAGGCTGTCCTGGGCCCACGGGCTCCTCCAAGGGAGCTCCAGTGTCAGCAGAGCCCAGGGGAACACACGTCCTGGACGGCATTTGTCCCCTGTATAAATGAGGAGCCGAAGGGATGGGCCCTGTGACCTGGGCCGAGGGTCTGGCCTCTGTCCCACTGCGTACCAGGGAGACTATGGCCCTTTGCAGAGATGCAGAAACAGAAGCCAGAGAGGGCGCAGGCTTGAGCAGAGTCACAGCTAAGGACTGGGCTGTGCTATCTCAATGGAAAACAGATGTGTCTCACATTACGGGTCCCCCAACCTCAGGGCCCCATCCCATCCCAAACCTACTGTGACAGCCACCACATTGGAGCCCCCGGGGGCATTCTCGGGGATCCTGGCAACGTAGTAATGAGAGGTGAACTTGGGGACATTATCGTTGGTGTCCAGGAGCTGGATCACAATATCCGCTGTGGAACTGAACTTCTCGGGGGTGTTCACCTCGATGGCCAGGAGCTGGGGAGCAGGGAACCGAGGGCGTGTCTGTCACCTGCTGAGAGCCTGCCCTCCCTTGTCCCCCTAGTACTGGACCAGCACCACTGCCTCTCAGCTGCCAGGTGCTTCGGGCCGCCCCGCAAGGCGCACATCTTCCCCGCCTCCTGACTCTAGCTGGTCCCGTTTCTGCTCTACCGACCTGCGTATGCCTTTCTTCTCCAGATGAAGACCAGCATGACTGTATTAAGGTTCTCACCACTTTTCCAATGGAAATTGTAGGTAAGCGTCAACTGGTGTGGTGCTTTGCAATTTTTTTTATTAACTTAGAGAAAATCTGCACTTAGTGAAAAGGTTTACACCACTCATTGTTCAGACTTGCCTTCTCTATAGCCCTTTGGGAAATTTTGTATCACTGAAGGGATGCATGCTTCTCATTACTGTAATTCCCAAGAATTTCATCTGTTGGCTATCATAAATGATTCTTTCTTTCTTTTTGTGGTGCTGAACCCAGGGCCTCGATCTTTTTTTATTTAGCTTTGAGGTGGGCCAGTATTGAATCACTAAGTTGCCCTGGCTGAGCTCAGACTTACCTGCCAACCTCCGCCTTCCAGAGTGGGAGGATTATAGGGTGCACCCCCCCAGCTGCCCGGCTTCAGGGCACCACCCAGCCTGCCTCTCTCTGTCTCTCCTGGTGGCTCCCACTGACTCCCAGCTGCTGCACCCCTCAGAGAGCTCCAGTTTAGAAACCAGAGCTCAGCGAGCTGGGCTGGGTGCTGCTGCAGTCGCCTGTCTGTGGGTTCCTCTTCTCCTGTGGGTTCCACCCTGCCCACCACCGGCTCCCCACTCCAGTAGAGGGGCAGCTCCAGCTTGGGGAATGAAAGCGTAGTCTAGACACGGCAGCAGTCTCCTCTGGAGTGGGATACTGTGGCGATACCTGCCTCCTTCCCCTGCCCCACTCGGGACAGTGCAGAGCCACACACACCTTGAAGGTCAACACTCTGGACTTCTCAAAGTCGATGGCAGCTGAGTTCTCCACAATGATGGTGACCTGGGCTTCGTTGAGCACTGTCTGCGGGACCACTCGGAAGACGCCTCCGGGTCCCACCAGCCGCAAGTTGAATTTGGCATTGGCTCCCTGGGCATTAGAGTTTGGAAACAGGAAGCAAGGAGACAATTAGCATAGAGACATTACACAAGGCACGATCAAAACACACGGTGAACTTTACACGTACAGATTCCCCACGGTAAACACAGGGCTGTGAACTCCCGCCCAGCACCCCGTGGTACCCAGCGTCTTGCTGCTGTCTGCCACAGTTCCAGAAGTCCTATTCCCTGAGCGTCACCACAAGGTGTGCTCAAAATCATGGTGAGGGCTGCGGCTCACCATGGATGCCATCCATGGAAAGGCAGGCTCGCAAAACCGTGAGCCTGTGTCCTGAGCTACTGGATCTGACACCGTGCAGACTTGGGCTCATCCCAAAGTCAAAATGACACAAAAGCTAAAAGCTGTGAATCAGTTTGGGACACTGAAGCACCCAGACACCCAGAAAAGTGGACTTCCAAACCTGCTTCAGAAAGGGGCAGAAACAATTCCTGTGCATGATGTGATGTGGGTTTTCGGGGTGGTGTGGGGTTAATAGGGATGTGTGTTCCTGTAATGCTGCCTTTTAATGTAATAGATGTTTTGGATTGAAACACCCACTGTACTTTTGATTTTACCTTATATATTCATATTAAACAAGGAGCCCTTATATGTCCTTAACTCTGGAAGGTAAGTGACCCTTCATTCTAAAAGGGAGTTGACCAAGTCAGAAAGATTGAGCAGGTTTTGAGGATGAAGGGAGGTGAATTGAAACCACACGGGTCTGGTCTTGCGCTGGGCCAGGAGGGGCAGGGCACATCACCAGTGCTGGGCTGGTGCGGGGACCAGGGCAGGGTTTGCACTTTTTAACCCTGAACGCCCTTAGGCTGAGCAGACCACCTCTGATTAGACAGCAGCCCTCTGCTGTCCCTGTGGCAGTTCTGGGAGCTGTCTGTCCCTGCCACCTGAGCTGAGAGGGGTGGCACAGATGCTCCCAGCTGTGAGCAGGATGCACACACACCTGGTCAGAGTCGTTGACTGTGATCTTGAGGCCCCGCAGGATCTCGCCCTGGGGTGGGTGCTCGTACATGGACAGCTCGAACCTGTTCTGGGGTCCACTCTCTCCGTAGAATGTGGGTGGGTGGTTGTTGAGGTCCACGATTCTGATGGTGACAGGGACCATGGCCCGGGCAGCTGGGATCCCCGCAGAGCTGACCTCTGTCACCTGAGGGGGGACAGCAGCAGTGGCCCTGGGGCTGGGAGGCTGTGACTGGCCCCCACAATCCCGGCTCCTGGTGTCCATGGCCTTGTGTTATCCCTGCTTCTGAGTGCAGCCCTGCCCTGTGACTTGCTTCTGACCACATCTGGCAAAGACAGGGTGACACTGAGAGACTGCAATTTCCATCTGGCTGGCAGAATCTCCCTCACTGGTTCCCATGAAGCAGAAACAAGAGTGTCCCCTCACCAACAGCCGGCCAGGGCCTGAGTCATGCCAGTGGCCACGGGAGCCATAAGCCAATGCGCCCTGTCCAGCCTCCCCAGGAGACTCTACCCTGGCAGACAATCAGACAGCAGCCATTCCAGAGACCCTGGAACCAAGGACCCGGGCAAGCAGAATTCGGATTCCTGAGTCCTTCACATGGAGAGGGATGAGTTCGTGGTGTCTAAGCCGCTAGGTTCATGGCAAGTGTTAGAAAGCACTGGATAACTAATTCAGGCTGCAAAGCCAGGACTGGGGGCCATCTGCACCTCGAGCATTGTGGCAAATATCCCAGGAGCCTCCTCCAGGGCCTCCTGATCCTGCTGCGGCAGGACGCTCAGTTCTAGGAGGCAGCTCTGCTGACAGTCCCTCTGTCCCCACAGGCCCTGCTGCTGCCTGCACACCCTCTCTTCTCCTCATGTCCTCTCCCGTGCTGTGTCCAGTCCCAGTGCCTCCACATCTTCCTCAGGGCCCAGTTCCCCTGGCTGAGGTCGCCGAGTTCTCCCCGGCTCCCTGGGCCCCCTGGGCCTCCAGCACCCGATCCTCTCAGGGTGTGGGCTGCTCCCGCACCGCGCACTTGGCTGGCGACCCCTCCCAGAGCCGTGCCCAGGGTGACTTCCTCCCTGCCGGTGCCTTTCACCGTGTGCGAGGGTTCCTCTCAACCCCAGCCCTGTATGCCCATGCATGGATGCTCCACCTGTGTCTCCCTGGTGCCAGGCCCCACACTCATAGCGACGCCGCATCTGTGGCCACCTGGCCCTTCTCACCCTTCTGTCCACTGCCCAGCTATGCCGTCCGCCTCCTTCTGGATCTGCGGTTCTCCCTTCCGCCCACCCCCTGACCACAGCCCCGCGGCCCCACAGCCCGGCAGCCCAAACCGAGTGGAGACTCCAGTTCTTTAACACTGGGTTAGGACTGGCACCTGGACCTGGGTCACTCAGTCACCCAGGGCCTTGGGGTTACCAGAAACATGACAACCCACCCCTGGCGCAGTGTCCGGAACCCTCCACTGGGCGCCCTTCCCCTAGGTGGGCACTGGCTGTCACTGAGCAGCTCTCTCCTGGCCTCTGCTCCTGGCTCCCCACACTCTTGGGCAGGATCGTGAGACACAGAAGTTCTTAGGAATTTAAAGGTGACAGACAGCAGGCCCGGGCGTGTGACCCTCTGAGCCAGGGCCTCTGGGTGACTGCAGGGGTCACAGGCTCTGCCCCAGGGAAATCCCCTGCCAGCCTTGGGGCATCACCCCCACCCCCGGGACCCCTACCTTCCTCCCACCTGCTCCAATCCCACCAACCCTGGCTGAACCCCTGGCCGGGGCGTCTCGGACTCCTGCGGCTTGAAATGCCTCCCCCCAGCCCCAAATCCCCCGCCCAGCCTCAGCCTGCGGTCCGCTGGGGCACTGCTCCTGGCCTCTCGCCCTCCTACTTTCTAGAATTCCTGGATGACTTCCTGTCCCACTAGAGGCTTGACCCCGCTACTGCCGGAGGGACGGAGGGAGGGAAGGCTCCTCCTATGTCTCCCTCCCAGATGCACCCCCGGGATGGGGAGGCGCGCCCAGACCTCATCGCCTTTGCAGCCTTCCAGGGCTGCAGACTGCGGGGCAGGCCCAGCTAGAGGGCTCACCTGCACGTGCAGCTCGTACGCCTCTCTGTGCAGCTGGGCGGGGCTCTGCAAGACCGTGATGGTTCCAGACGTCTCGTTAATCTGGAAGGCTCCGTCACTCCCTGGCAGAGACGAGCGCTGCAGTTCAGCACAGGGCCACAGGGGGCGCAAGAGAGTCGGAGTCCCCGTATGGTGCAATAGTCGCCGCCTGTGCAGCGCTAGTGGGGAAACTGAGGCTCGGAGGGGCTAAGTAACTTGTGTAAGGTTACACAGTGGAGTAGGACCCGAGTTCACCTGTTTGGCTCACAGGTTCCATCCTGGGTGCCTTCTCTTAGGCACAGTGTGTGTGCGTCTATGTCAGTGCACCTAGCGCGTTCAGCCCAGGCTTTACAGGAAAACAACAGCCCCGAGGGCACAGGAAGCGCTGCCACCACTGCCATTGGTGACACAGTGCCCAGGTGGCAGGAGTGGAAAACAAAGCAGCCGTGTTCCCCCCGCAGCTGGGCCCAACCACAAGCAGGGACAAGGCACACGGGTCACTCCTAGGGCCCAGTCCCTCCCCTCCACAACATCGGGTCCTCCTCATCCTGCAGGTGGGGACTGGGGCCCAGGGGTCCTCATCCTGTGGGGGGAGGGGCTGAGACCCAGGGGTACCCATCCTGAAGGCGGGGGGCCGGGACCCAGAGGGTTTGGGAACCTCACTTTGGCCCCCAGGGAGTCCGAGCCCCAGCCCCGAGGCTGCCCAGACTCACTGTTCACGAGGCTGTAGACGATGCGGTTGGGTCTGCCCTGGTCTCCATCCATGGCGACCACTGTCAGCACCTCTGAGCCCTAGGGAAGAGGGTTCCGCTCCTGGGGCTCGTGGAGATGCTGGGGTTGCCCCTCCCTGGACACAGCCCATCCCAGAGGGGGAGCCGCCCACCAGGCCAAGGTCTCTCGGTGGCCCAAGAGTGTGGGCTGGCTCTGCTGGCAGCTGGCAGCACCAGGACTGGGGGACAGCAGTGCCTGCCATGTCCAGGTCCATGGGGACAGAGCATAAGCTGCCCGGAGAGCCCTAGCACTCCTGCTTCCTGGGGCACACCCACACGCCTTGTACCCCTCCACCTTTACCCTCTTCCAGCTCAGAGGGGTGCAGGGGCGAAATGAGGCCATGGCTGGACCCCAGGGCCTCAAATTCGGGGTCTCAGAATGAGCGTTCCATCCTGGGCACCCTGAGCGGTGTTCAAAAAGGTTTGGGGGGTTGTTCACAAGTGCAGCTCCCGCTCTCTGTCTGCGCCTAGCGGGAGGTGTCCCTCCGGATGAAGCCGCAGAGTCCTCCCCTACCCAGCTGTGTGTGAGGAGGGTGAGCACCCATGGGGCTGTGGCAGTGTGTGTGTGGGGGTGGAGCCCAGCGTCCCCAGCAGGGACCCAGGGGAACCACAAGGACAGGAGGGGACCCTGGCTGAGGGGCAGCCACCCACCGGAAGGGTGTCCTCGTACACATAGCCATAGTACGGAGTGCCCACGAAGACAGGTGGGGTGTCCTGCACGTCCTCCACATTGACCGTGACTGTGGTGGTGGTGGAGAACACCACGGGGGCCCCTCGTAGACTGCCCCCACCGTCCTGGGGAGGAAGCAGGGTGGCAGGAGCCGGTGAGGGTCGGTGGGGCTCAGGAGTGCACTGCCTGCTCTGCGCTCTGCTTCTGTGGCCCTGGTGTTAGTTTCAGACTTGCAGGGCTTCGGGACTTAAACGAGACCATGTGCGCACAGTGTCAGGCCAGGCCGGCACACAGTCAGCTCCTCTGGGTATGGAGACAGAGGTGGAAGCTTCGACATGAAGTCACCTCTGCAAAATGAACTGCCAGGCCAGAGCGAGGCACCTGCAGATCCCAGCTCCCTGCCACGAGCCTCAGAGATGCAAGGGACAAGAAGCTTATGGGACAGGCAGATGGGGAAACCGAGGCTTGGGAAGGACAGCTGGGCATCACAGAGGAGGACCGGGGGTGGAAGGCCGGGCCAGAGCAGTGCAGGCGCCCAGAGGCCGAGCCATGGAAAGAAGCATGGTCTGCGCCGGGGCCAGCTGGTCCTGCCTAAGGGACCTTCGCCACTAGTCTCAAAGGGTCACACGCTCCATCCCCACAGGGACTGGCCCCCAGTGCCCTGGCAGCTGCCTCCCCTGCCACTGGGCTCCCACCCTGCCCATGGCTCCTGGAACTGTGCCTTGTCCAACCCAGCTGTGCTCCAGTCCAATCAGGGGAGCCTGGGCTCCCTGCCCTTCCTCTGTTACCTTGGCCACCACAGTGAGAAAGTGGGTCCGGGACTCCTCGTAGTCCAGAGTGGCCCCGGCCTGCAGGCGCAGCACCCCGCTGTGGCGGTCCATGGCAAATTTGGTGGGGTGGAGGCTCTGGAAGAGTGGGGGAGCACTAGACCTCAGGGAGAAGCCCAGTTCCAGGAAACACCCACTGTGCTGACTGAAGGGGTCCTCGCCGGCTAGGGACTGGGGTTCTCACTGCCAGGTGCCAGTCCTTCTGCTCTCAGGCCTCCTGCAGAGTTGGGCTGGGGCCATACACTCTGGGCAACACAGGCACCGGCCCTCCCTGTGGCCGTGGCCTCCAACCTGCTCAGCTGGACGGGATGATGCTCTGGCCCGGAGGTTTCCACAGGCTAGAGGGGCTGCAGTGTGCGCCAGAGGGAACTGGGGCTCGGAAATCACAAGCACAGAGAGGTGGGAGACCTTCTAACCAGCCAAGTAAACAGGTAGCACCTACTAAGGAGCAGCGGGAGACCCTGCCTTAATGGGGTGACCCAAGAACCCCCCAGCTGCCCTTGAAGCTTCACCTGTGTCTAAGCCTCGCTCAAGGCAGGCTGCGGGGGGAACTTTGTCTGCTCCCTGTGCAGAGGCCCTGAGCTCAGGGCCCCAGGCTGAAGGACCCTGGCTTCCCCTCCAGCCCAGGGTGTGGTGGCACTGTGGGTCCATCTTACCTGCAGGAAGTAGGTGACGCTGCCCCCGGAGCCCGTGTCCCTGTCCACAGCATGGACCTTAAAGAGGCTGCTCCCGGCAGGTGTGTCCTGAGGAGTTGCAGCCACAGGGAAGGGTCAGGGGCGGTGACACAGTGCTCAGGGAGCAGAGGCCAGGCCGTGGTGCAGTGGGGTGGGAGGATGTGAGCGTGTCGTGTGACTGGTGTGTGACAGAGACAGTGGTGACTGCAGATGTGGGAGCTGGCTGTGAGGTGCTAGGGCGGAGGAGGTGACGGTGACTGTGTGACAGGGTGACGGGAGGGATGGTGACAGACACTGGGGCAGAGGCAGGGAAGAGGGAGGAAGGGGGAGCAGGGGCCCCCAACTGGGGCGGGGAAGAAAACCAGTAAATAGAGCAAAGGTCGACACATGATGTGGCAATTCCCCTTGAGGTCACAGATTATAAATCCAGTCACAGTCATGGCCACCAGGGACCACACAGGGTGCAGAGCCAGAATGAGACCCCTTCTCCCCGCAATCAGCAAACACTAGACCTTGAGAACTCCAGACACTGGCCAGGGAAAAGCTCCCCCTCTGCAGGGCAGCGGTGGTGGTGACACAGGGGCTCCAGGAGGGGGCACAATGACAGAGGGGGGAGGACACAGAGGCCAGGGCCTCAAAGGGGCGGACGGGCCAGGTCGCAGGTGGCCCTGCCTCACTCACCTCGGGCACCAGGACGACGTAAGGCTCTTGGGTGAACCTGGGCGCCTCATCATTGGCGTCGGTCACCAGGATCGTGACCTTTTCTGCCACCTGAGAAGGGGCAGAGGGGTGGGGACTCAGGGCAGCGATGCCTTCCTGGGATGAGAGGATGGTGGCCCCCCAAACAGCCCTGGCTGTGTACCTTACCCACATTCCCCGCCCCTTCATTCACAAAACGAAGAGGCCACTTGAGCTCCCTGCTGAAGGTGCATTACTTTGCAGGGGCCGTGGTGGCTTCTGCCTTTTGAGGGCACCAAGCACTCTGGGCCTGGGGTACACGCCCCTTGCAGGGCCATGCACGCAGCATCCTGCAGGGCCCCATAGGAGGCCCCGGGCAGCGGTGCACGGCAACATCCAGTGGGTACAGCGAGCCTACGGCAGCTTTGTCAGAGGGAGGAGGTGGGAAGGTGGCCGAGAAGAAGGGGTTTCGAGTGCAAGGGCAAAGAGGGCTGAGACGCAGAGAGAGGGAGGACAGGCTCTGGCTAGGGGCTGGCGGGGCAGGTGGGGAACAAGCTGTTTGAGGCAGATGGCACCCGACAGGTGGGACCCGGGTGCCCCGAGAAGCTTGGGTTTCATCCCGAGGGTGCTGGGCACAGCTGTTGGCACTTTCAGAGCTGAGGACCAGCCAGATGGGCATTACACTGGGGCTGGGGTGGCTGCAGTTCCCCAGGAAGCAGGGGTGAGGACAGCCTGGCGGCCAGGTGTTTGGCTTAGGTGACAGGCAGGGGGAGGGTTGGACGAGGTGCTGGGAATGCGTGCTGGGCCTGGCAAAGCTCAGCTGAGAGAGCCAGTCTGTCCCTCCCGCCCTCTCCTCTGGCCTGCTGCAGCCCCGCTGTGGGCCCTTCCGGCAGGTCTCACTGCCAGTTTATCAGGGAGCCCACGAGAGGGCTGGGGTGCAGGGAGCCTAGAGCCAGCTGGTTCTAGAACCCACTCACCAGGTTCAGGCCGTCGGAAATGCTGATGATGGCTTCAATCTCATCCTCCCTCTGTAAAGCACAGGGACGGAGTGAGTGTCCCGGGCTGTGACACCCCACAGGACTCCAGGTGGAGTGAAGCCCGTCTGCACCCTCAGAGGATGCCGGGGGTCGGGGGTCCCTAGACCCAGAGGGACTGCAGCAGCTCCAACAGCAAATGCTTTCTGCTTATGCAAGTGGAGAAGGACCCCAAGTGCTGGAGGGAGGTTCCCGTCCTCTTCGGATCATTTTCCTCCCCCTCACCTCACAACACCTCTCTGCATGGGAGTCTGCAGACATCAGGGTGCAGGTTGCTTCAAGGGCCCATGAGTTTCACAATGTGTGCATGTGTGTGAGTATGTGTGCGCCTGTGTGTGTGCATGTGTGCGTGCAAAGTGGTGCCCGCAGACCCACAGTCCCAGACCTCTGAGTCTCTGAGACCCCCCTTCCTTTCTCTGCCCTCTCTTGCAGCTCCTGGATTTTGTCATTGAATTGAAGTTGGCAGAAGCCCCCAGCTGAGGTCTCAAATCAGAAAGGAAGCCAAGAAAGCCCACACCCTGTCCCCCAGGCTCAGAGGCCTGCAGAGGGGGCAGCTGTTGCCCGCCCAGCCCTGCTCCCTCACCCACCTTTCCAGCCCCACCTGCTACCTGAGTGCCCTGCGGCTTATATGCTTCTCCCAGGGGGGGCTTGAAAACCGTATTCGGAGGCGTTTTGAGAGCTCTAAGTGCAAACAGACTTCTAACTATACGTGCGGGCTGCAGGGCACACCCACAGCCTCCTCTGTAATGGCAGTGGCCTAAGCTGCTGGGCTGGGGACCCTCGTGGGCCCCTGCTCTACAGGGAGGGGCTGGTGCACAGCAGCATGCTCAAAGGGGACCTCCCCCGCACACCCTGTACCTCTCGGTCCAGCTCCTCAACCAGGGTGACGTTGCCCAAGTTCAGGTCAACAGAAAAGACGCTTCTCGCACTGGGGTCAAAGCTGATGTGGTAGGAGACTGGGTCCCCGTCGGGGTCTGTGCCGTTAAGGGTGTACACGTGGGAGCCTAAGGGACACGTAGCAGGAGGAGCTGTAGCCAGGGGCATGCTTTCCTGAGAGCAGCAGCAGCAGCAGCAGCAGCAGCAGCACAGAACCAAGGGCCTGACTGTTCGCGGAGCGAATATGTGATTCACGGCCACCCTGGCCTGGAGCTTCCTGCTGGCTGAGCTCCACTTGTTATCGGGTGTTATCAGCTGCTCTGTTGATGGCAATCTGCCCCGCACATTACAGAGGTGTCTGGGGCTCCTCCTAACTGGGGAGCTCTGTACCTTGCAGGACTCCTCTCCCAGGAGCAAAGCTGTGGGCTCCCTGGGTGGGAGTGGGGAGAAAGGAGGGCCCCGAAGGCAACAGAGGTGAGGGGTGCTGTGTGCCCCAGCCGGATAGGCCTCCGTTATTCACCCCCCCCCCCCTTCCCCAGCTCTCAAGCCTGACTGAGCCATGAAGCCGGTTCCACACCCTCCTCTTGCTTCTCTGGCCTGGGCGCCTGGAGGCATCTGGGCCAGCTGAGAGTCCTGGATGGTTTTAAAGCCCAGAGAGTGGAGGCTCGGGAGGTAAACACACTGCAAGGTCACGGTCCCCAGGGGACCAGGGCCTTTCCGATGTGCTGCCCACCACTGCCTGGCCCAGGCCACTCTTCTTGGGTCCCGACGCTGGCCCCCAGTATTGGCCCGGCTTAGTTGCCATGGCAGCGGTGACCTCCTTTCCCTCGGGGCCAGGGATCCCAGCATAAACACAGGGCGCCCCGGGGAGCGCACAGCACAGCGTTAGTTCAGCGCTGCAAGATCGGGGGAGTCACGAGTGGGGTCCCTGGGGAGACCTGCGGGGGGGGGTACCTCACCTACTGGGGTGTCCTCAGGAAGGCTGAACAGGGCCAGGTTTCCGTTGGTGCTGCCTGCTCCATTATCGAAGAAGTGGGGGGCGAAGTTGGCCTGGACTAGGAAAGCCAGAGGCAGGAGGGAGTTTGCACCACGGCCACGGTCGGCCCGGCGCGGGACAGCAGGGGGACCGGTCAGCTTCGGCGACCCCGGGTCCCCACCACCCACCTCCTGGGGCGCACACGACTTGGGGCGCCGGGAAACAGGGCATTGCCCGACCCCAGCCCTAGCAGTGCAGGCAGGGGCCCGGCTCAGAGAGGGCCGGTGGCCGCCGGGGGTCGCCTCCGGGTGGACACCCCGCCCCGCCCTGCCCCGCCCCGGGCCCGTAGCGTCTGCCCCAGACTGCGCCCTGGGCATCCCTCGGGCGCTCGCGTCCCCTCCGCCCGGCACTCACCCAGGCAGAAGCGCAGCAGCCCCAGGATCGCGGCGGCCCGCGGGGCGCGCCCCATGTCTCCAGCGAGCGCCCCGGACCCCGCGGGCAGAAGGGCGGCTGGCAGCCTGGGCGCCTCCGCGCACCCAGCGCCAAGTCTGGGGTGGGCGTGGCCACGCCGGTAGCCACGCCCACGGCGACCACGCCCCCTCAGAGAGCCCGGAGGCGGGGTCAAGGGGGTCCCGGCCAGAGACCCAGCTTGGTGGAGCTGAGGGATGCCGGAGCAGGCGGCTGGAAGATCGGGCTTCCCGGTCCCGAGTCCCGCCCGGCTGAGCGCGGTTCGGGCTGGAGTTTTTCTTCCTCGCGAACTTCCTCTGCTCTCTCTGGAGCATTTGTGCAGACGCTTGGGAGTAGCCTTGGCCAAGGGCCGGGGTCTCGGGTGGGGCGCAGAGGGGCTGCCTGGGCAGTCACACAGGCTCCGGGGACCGCCCCCAAGGGGTCACAGAGCAGACCTCAAAGACCAGGTGGGGTGGGGGAGACCGCGTGCCCAGACCCAGGACCAGACGGCTCAGCTCAGCCCAGCCCGGGCCAGGCGGCCGCCCCTGACCTCATTCCCCTGTGCCAGGCAGCAGAGTCCCCCCCTGCCCGCCCCGTCCCCACTCTGGGGGGACCTCCGACCCCTCTTCAAGTCCTCTGAAGGAGGGGGCGGTGTGAAGGCGGAGTTCAGCGCCCTCTCGGCCAGGTGGAGCTCTGACCCCCGAGGGTGGCCCTGCAGCCTCTGTCCGGGGCTGCTCCCGCCCTGGCTGGCCGGTGACTGGGGGAGGCAGGGGGGCCGGGAGCCTCCTTGGCTGCTGGTCCAGTCCTGTACTGCAGCCTCCCACTGCTGGTCCACACGGGGAGCATGCACTAACCCGCCCCTGCCCTTCCCCACACAGTGTGTGAGATTCAGGGGAACTGGGGTTCTCTGGGGATGCAGGACTCTGAATCAAGAGTCTGCATAGCCTGGGTGGGGCGGCCACCCGAGAGCTGGCCCTGTCCTGGGGGCGCTGAACACCGTAGACAACAGCTGCTCTTCCCTGTCACCCTGACAGTGTCCTACCTGGATAGCAGAGCTCGTGTTAGCCGAGGGGCTCACCTGTCCCCGGGGACCCGCACACCCTGGGCGCCCTCAGACCCTGGAACGCAGCACTGACCAGCAGCTCCCCCCACCTCGGCCTCGCGCACATGGCCCCGTGGTGCGGCCCCATCAGGGCATCTCCGTCAGGTTCTGACGCCGTCCCCGGGGGTGGTCCAGCTGCTGCTGAGCGAAACAGCGCGTGTCAAGGGTCGGGGGCTGCTTGGGCACGCATGTGTTGCCAGCGGGGCTCGCGTGTTTCCACGGCTTTGCCCTCTCCTGGCTTGTGTGAGGGCGCTAACCCACAGTCCTCGTGCACCTGTGCACCCCTGCCCACGAGTACACCCGCAGGCGTTCCCATGCTATCCACAACATACAGGAAGGGTTCCAGTCCCTCTGCAGGCCCCTCTGCCACACACGCGCACGCATCGTCTGCTCCCAGCCGAGGTGCACAGGAGCACTCAGGCCCGAGTGGATGTGCGCACCATGGTGTGTGTGTGTGTGGGGGGGGGGGGCTGGCGCTCTCCAGGTCCAGGGCTCCCAGGAGCCGGTGAGCAGAGGGGCGGCTTCTGGGCTCACTTCTGCCCGCCCACTCAGGGGGCAGAGATAAGGGCAGCCTTCAGCCCAGCGTGTTCCTGTGGGCTGTTGTGCCCCATGTCCCGGAGCAGTGCGGGGTTGGGGATGGGGGTCCCGCAGGCTGCTGTCTCCCTGGTGTGCAGACTTTGAGCCTCAGCAGGATGGCACCTGTGGTCCAAGGTAGGGCGTGGGTCTGGTATGCTGGTACAAAGAGGGAGTCCGAACAGTCCTGCAGTGTCAGCCCAGTGCAGGGAGGCCAGTCATTGACGCCATGGTGTCTTCTGCTGTCTGCCTCAGCTTAGGGGAGGGACAGATTGGGCCAATGCACCCTGCTGGACGGTCGGAGCTGGGGGTTCTTCACCGCACCAGAGTCACAGCTCGGCTGTGGGCCCGAGTCCCAGAAGGAGAATGTCCACGCTGAATGTGGCCTTCCCCATTCCCCAGGTGCCCAGGCTCAGGACAGGGTGGCCCTCGGTTTCCTGTGACAGGAGGGAGACCCCTTCCCTACCAGCCCGAGGCCCTGCCTTCCCCCTTAATACAGAGATTCTGCCACTGTGCCCTGGTTCCTTTAGATTGGTTCGTGGCCCAGTAAACATTTTGGCTACACACTGACTTCTGGATCGGGGCACAGCCACGGCCACTTTCAGTGAGACAGTCACCCTGGTAGGCAGCCTCTCCAGCCCGGCTGGCCTGCATCCAGCCTGTAGATTTCTCCTTTGCTGGGTCAGTCTGCTGCATGGCTGAGCCTGGGTGTGGACATACCAGAGGAGGTCTGGGTCACCAGAAGCCCTCTCTCCTCCACCCACGCCTCTGCCCCACACAGAACCGGCCCTACTTGGAGGAAGGTCAGTGCGCTGAGGAGACTGCGTGCTGGAAGCTGTCTGCTCGGGCGTCTCCTTGGGGAGCTGTGAGCCATTCCTGGAGAGGTTGGGGTTTACTCAGAGGTCGTTTTATTACTGGCGTAGAGCTGACACTTAGTAGATCCTTGTGTTAATCAACTTTTTGCTATTGCCACAAATGCCTGGGTTTATCAAAAGAAAACACTTATTTCTCCAAGGTCCCCAAGGGCTGGGGACCTTTAGGTGAGACTTGCCGAGGCTGTAACAGTTCTCAGTGAGTGGTTATAACGGGCTGAATGAGTGGAGAGTGTCATGGCTCATGTCTGGATGTCCCTGAGCCTCATGCAGGCACAGGTGGGGCTTTTGGGAGGCGGCCGGATCTAGGGTGTGTGAGGCTGATTGATTGAGGGTACCCCACCGGGGGTGCGCTAGTGTGTGAGTGGCTGGGGCAGACTATGAGGGACAGAGAGCAGGTGGTGGCTTGGCCTGTAGCTTGCCGCCTGCTGCCTTCTGGGGTCTGCCTTGCACTGTCCCCCTCTGCGACCCCTTTGCCATGGAGCCAGTGGCTGAAACCTTACCAACTGAGCCGAATAAACCCTTCTTCTTTTAACTTTGTGTGTTGGGTATTTTGTCTCAGCGAGAAAAATTAACCAAGACGGAGTAAATGAAGGAAATAAAGACTCTTAGAATGCGGGGAGTCTTGGCTGCTGGTTCCAGTCAGCAGGCTCCCTGATCCTTTGGTAGACAGAGCGAGGCTCCAGGGGTACAGACTTCTGAGAGGGAGGGAGTGCAAAGGTGTGGGACAGGAGGGCGACAGGGACTCACGGGTGATGACTGTGGCCCACAAATAAGTGTTCACAGCCACAAAGTCTTTAAAGCACTGAGCTGGACAAGCAAAAAGGTTGTGTTCTGATGTGGAGAGGACTTCTCAGCGTGGGCATCCAGCAGCTGCTGGCTCCTGACTTTCTGGTTAAGACTTCGCAGGTCCTGAGGGTGATGTGCTTCACCTGAGCCTCTGAGGCCTCTGCCTCATGCCCTGCCAGTCATTCTGGGCACACCATTCAGGGAGGGTGGACCCCTGTGGTTAAGTGCAGGCTCACCCACTGTGGCCTGCAGCCATGTCCAGATTCTATCCGGGGACAGAGAATTCGGTTTTATCCCTCTGCAGTTGGCTTCCCCCTCATACTTGAAGGACTCAGCCTGCCCTTTGAGAGTCCATTCTTCCCTGCAGACAGAGTCCGAGCGCCCCTTCTGCAAGTTGTAAGTTTCTGTGTCTTTCTGGGACACAGCTGCCTCCTCCCGAGGGCCTATGGGCATCTCAGCCTGTGAATCCCGGTCTTTCTCCTCCGGGGAAGGACAGATGGCACAGGGTGGGGAGGAGGGGCTCGCTGGGTCCCCAAGGCCACCCCCTTCCTGCACCCTCTGGCAGCCAGAGCTCTGGGAAGGTGCTGCCTGTCCCCAAGGGCCAAGCCACATATATGTCCTTTGGTTTGGGGACATGACTGTCTCGCCTTCCTTACCGAGGCCCTCAGAGAGACAGAGGCTGCTCCCTCTGTGCCCCCAGTCTCAGGAGGGCTCGGGGCTGTGTCTGGGCATGTGGCCTGTGTGTCACCGCCCCGTGGTGGTTCTCAAGCACAAGTGTTTATTTTTGTGTGATTTTCTCTTTGGAGGGGGCTGGCTTTGAGAGGACCAGAGGGAGGGACAGGAATCCAGGAACCCCTGCTTTCTGGTCCCTGCTGAGGGAGCCCCAGGCCAGGGTGTGACACCTGAGGAGTTGCTGCCACAGCCCTGAGCCCCAGCAGACACCAGCCAGCGAGTCAGAGTCTCAGGCCACCAACGCTGCTCTCCTCTCCCACCCTGCTGGCCTCGGCTCCAGGGCCATCCCACCACCCATGGCCGGCGTCTTCTTCCTGCCCCCGGCTTGTTTGTTCCCCAGTGAACCCCAGAGCCCCAGCCCTCACCCTGCAGCCTCCCTGCCAGCCAGGTCCTCCTGTACCCCTCCCGCTCCCCACTCCGTCCCTCCCGAATTTGTCCCTTACTCTGGCCCTGGTCTCGAAAGGTCCCTGAGCTCTGTCCTCCTCCCAGATGTCACACACACACACACACACACACACACACACACACACACACAAGGTCCAGGCTGCTCATCGCTGAGCCCTGAATCCATTGCGGGCCCCACCCTTGCCCACCCAGGACAAGGTGACCTCGGAGTGATGTGGAAACCACACCGCTGCTGTGACAAGGACTTGGGGAATCTGGCCTATGGTGAGATGCAGGCTTTGGATCTGCTGGAGGCCAGGTCCCCAGACCCCGCCCGACAGCCTCAGGGCTGGTGGCCTGGTGTCCTCCTCCTCCCCTCCTGGCTTTCAGAGAATCGGATTAGGAGGCCGGCAGTGCCGGGAGATAAGCATCTGGGTCTGGAGCCATCTGTCCCCCAGGTCAGCTCTGGAGACAAAAGCAGCCCGGGGAATGCGGCAGGATGGGGAGCCCTGAACCTTTCCTGGAGGGCAGGCATCTGTCTGCTGCCCCCTGCAGTGGTCCTGAGGGCTCCTTTTCATAGAAAAGTGGCTATGGTGCCCAGACCACACCAGAAGTCCCGCAAGGCTGTGCTGGGCAGGAGGGCACAGGCCGCAGTGTGCCCAAGCCGCCGCTGCATTGCCCAAACAAGACTGCTGTGCAGTGTGCGTGTTTTTATTGGTTCTGTTTGCCTCGGGCTCTTTGCAGCTGACACATCAGGAATCGAGGCAGGTGGTCACAGGGTGTGGGGGTTGGGGCCCTGGACTGCAGTCCTGGCCGACTGCCTGGTCTGGCCACCCCGAGTCTCCAGGGCCGGGGGTGTCTGGATTTGTAGCTTCTCCGGCTCTTGGAGGGCTCCTTGGCTGCCGCACCGATGGGGCCCAAAGCCCTCAGCCGAGCTGCTCCTGTGCAGGGCCTGGACCAGTCCTGGGCTCCCTCTCCAGCACTGCTCACTGCTGCCCAGTTGACGGGGCTCAGGCTCCCGGTGGGCAGCGCTGCTACACCTGCGGGAGTGCCCCGGGTACCACCCAACGCCCTGCTGTCTTCAGCTTGTACTTGCATGGTTCACACAGGCGGGTGCGGTTCCCTGTGGGAGAAGCAGCCATGCAGGAGGGAGGGGGCAGAGAGGTCAGACCCATGTTCCAACCAAGGCCTCGGACCTCCCCCTCCCTGGAGGCCCAGAGGGTCTCCGTGGCCACCAAGGCCAGGCCCAAGTATCTCCTCACGCCAGCGGGGAGTTGGGGTCTGATAGCAGAGGACCGCAGGGAGTCCTGAGCTGAGCGGGACAGTGGCCGGGGAGCGGGGAGGCCTGCAGACCCACAGCCCCCACCTGTCTCCTCCGACAGCAGGTGCCAGGCTGTGTGTGCAAAGCTACGTCTGCTGTACGGCAGGAACAGCATGCGGGAAGGAGAGCACCACTTGCCAGGAGCTAAGTCCACATCGCTCTTAACAGCAGGACAGAGCAGAGCGTGTGGTGCACTCCCAGCACTGGGGACACTGAGGCAGGAGACTCTCCATAGCTGAGGCCAGTCTATGCCATTATAGTGAGTTCAAGGCCAGCCTGGACTGTATAGGGAGACCCTGTCTCAAACCAAAACAAGACAAAACAGGTCAGGAAGAATTTTTACGAAGGATGTGAATATCTTGTGTAGGCTTAGAGAAGCAGCTAAGGGTGACTAATGCTGTTGGAAACATTGCTTGGTGATGAAACCCCGTGCTCATGAGGACTATGTATCCACACAAAGAAAAATGCTATCATTTAATGGTAAAATAAAAAAATTTTGAAATGAGGTCCCAGGCCAGGTACACCCCTGTAATGCCAGCACTCTGGAGGCTGAGGCAGCAGGATCCCAAGTCTGAGCCCCATCCAGGCATCTTACTAACTTAGTGAGGCTCTGTCTCAAACAGCAGTTAACAAAAAGAGGCTGGACTGTGCCTCAGTGTGAAGTCCCCGGTTCCAAACCCCAGCACCGTCCAAGGCCTTGCATATTCGTTGGAACAAAGGGCCCACATCAGTGACATTTTCTTTTCTTTTCCTCCCTGCCGGAAAGTGCTTTCCTCTGCCCAGAGAGACGTCAAGAGCAATACACAGCACAACTGGCTTCTCTCCTTGGGTACCATGTGGGGCCCACGGTCTCTGGCCGGCTGGGTCCCCGCAGCTGCGGATCCGAGCCCAGCTGAAGGCCGTGCAGGGCCAGTGCTTCTGTAGCTAAGCCGAAGACTTCCTACATGCCTGAAGGGAGGAACCCCTGCCCAGCTGGACCCAGCCTTGCTATAGGGGTGCAGAGGAGGGTAAGGGCACTGTGAGACCCCAATGGGCTGCTAGCCCAGTGTGGGGAGCCAGCCACACCCCTCGGAACCCTGTGTGCTCTGTGGGTGTGTGGGGTGCCTGTGTGTCTGCCTGTGGGGGTGCAGCTGCATGGTGTCTGTGTGTTTGTGTATATGGGTATCTGCGTCTCCTCCCCCTTCCTCCCTTCCCATCTCCATCCTCCTCTTCCTCCTCCTCCTCTCCATTCTCCTGCTCCTCCTGCTCCTCCTGTCACTTCCTGTCACCTCCCTGCAAGGGACTCATGCACCCCACTCCACTTCTTTGCAGACTGCTTTTTCTTAACTCAGTGTCGGTCCAGGCAGTGTGGGGCTCACCTTGCAGGTGGGAGCCCAGAACTCGGCGGCAGCAGAGCCTGGGTTTCGTTGGTGTCTTGGTCCGATGCCTTTTCGCTGAGGGTGGACACAGAGGAGAGCACAGACTGCCGTCAGTGGACTGGGGGACGGGGGGGGGGCGGGCTTGCAGGGACAGATCCTATGAGCTACTTCCTAGGCCAGCTTCAGGAATATTCACTCAAGGAAACAAAGGGAAGCTGAGCCAGGCTGTGGCAGGGCTGGATTTCACTTTTCCTGAGTGAGGAAGTCAGGCTGGGAGGAGGCCGTGCTACCACGCTGAGTTCTCACCTCTCCAGGTGAGGAAGCATTCAGCACCCTGCTGAGAAGTGTCCCTGCCTTCCCAGGGGAGAGCCAGTCCAGGGAAAGAATCCTAAGTATAGGCCGTGCTTTACCCAGAGACGCAGGGAGAGAGGGGGGCCGGGACAGGGCCGTGGACAGGAGAAAGCCATGCTACGCAGACGGCACTCTCCGAAATGCGTGTCATCTTAGCGCACCGCATGCAGTGACCAATGAAAACTTTGGAGGAAGGAAATACTTTGTATGTACCTGTGCACTTTGCCGTATTTGTAGTACAGTGCACAGCTGTGAGCGTCTGAACACTGTCTCCATGGCAAGTTATATATAAAAGTATCAGCTGCATGCTCCTGGGTCCTGACCTGCCGGGAGAGTCCTCCGGGGACGGGGTCTATGCAGCAACGCCTGCCCCCAGGCCAGGCACCATTTGAGTTACGTGGGCGACCTGTCCAGAACAAACCCGTGCTCCTGACAAATTCGTCACCTTTTTTGCTGATTATATTGGCAGCCTCCGTTCCCTGCAGAAACTGGAGAGAGACACTTCCTGTCACCGGGCTGTTCACAGGGGACCTGCTACTGACACCAGGCTGTGAACAAGCGAGCTCCACCTCGAGTATTTTTAGTGAGTGTGAGCGGAGTGATAAGTAGAGGCAGCAGTGCCCGTCTAGAGAGTGATCAGTTAGATTTTAAAAAATGATTCATGCAACTTAAAAAAGGCGGCCAACATGGCTATTCCTCAAGCATGAAATTATGGGCCTTTCCCTTCCCTGGGCGTATTCTCTATGCTCAGCTCCAATACAAGCTGAAATAAGCATCACCGGGAAGGCAAAATATTAAAGTAGGCGGCGTGCTAGAGGCTACTAGAGAGGAAAAGCCTGCAGCAGCTGCTTGAAACACGGACGGCAGGAGAGCCGAGTCCTCTTCCCAGGTCGGGAGGACCGCGTCTCTCCACTTCCGAATACCCCAGCTCGCCCCCGCCCATCCTCCCCTGACCAGGGCGTGCTCTTCGAGCGCAGTGGGACAGGCTCAGACTTGGCAGGGAACTCATTGATTTGCTCCTGGCCCAGCAAGACTCCCCTCTGCCCTGAGCCTGGCACAGGGACACTGACGACTCGGGAATCTCTGGGCAGAGGGGACTCGGGCAGAGCACAGCTTGTGTCTGGGGTGGGGAAGGGGCTGCTTCTCATCAGCCCGTGTGTTGGGGGAGCTCAGGGGAGGCCTGCCGGGGCCTGCTCTCCAGCGCGTCCTGTTCCAACCCGCTCGGACCCTGGAGTCCCGGCTCAGGGTGCAGCCCTACCTTCCCCGAAGAAGACAGACACACAGAGGAGAAGGATGCAGAGGAGGCTGGACAATGGTAGCAACCGCATGGCGAGGTGGCTGAGGTCTGGGCCGGGGAGGGCGCGGTGCTGCGTGGCAGATCTCACTGGAGCTACCACGGACACTTTATAGAGTGGCAGCCCCAGAGTCCCATAAAGAGGAGAGGCGGTCCCTCCCCAAGGGGGAAAGAACCAGCTTTTCGAGACGCTGAGGAGGTTTAATGACCTGTAACATGCCAGCTGAGCGCCACCTCGCCTGCCTCAGAAGTCAGGCGGGAAACGCCTGCTTTGGGGAAGAGCTGGATTGAACGTTAACTTTTAGTGTCAGCAATAATTTCACGAAGGGCAGATCTTCCTGCCTACTTCTTCGATGGTGCTGAGCGAAAGACCATAAAATCCCTGCAGACCCCGAGGCATGGCTGTGAGGGACCTGACCTGACCTGGGCTTGAATCCCTGCACTGCTGTTCAGCAGTGATATGACCTGTACTTGGTTGTCTCTAAAGGTGTGCGCAGCTCCTCTGTGAAATGGGCCTTGAAGATGTGTGTGAGAAGCCATCTGCACTGGCCAGCTTCCACCCTGTGGTAAACTTGTGCAGAGCTATGGCTGGCCCTTGATGGGTGATTAAGACAGCAATGAAATGAGAGGCACTTCCAGGTGGAGGGCAGCCGGATGGGGGGCACCTGACCAGGGCAGGCGTAGGCAAAGCCTGCCCTGTGTGGGACACCCCTGGGGCTGTGCTAGGGAGACACTGGCCAGGCTGGGCACCAGCAAGTTTGTGGAAGCAACTGAGGTTGCGGCTGAGGAGCCACTGAGCAGCCAGGTGACCAAGCACTTACAGTGAGTGCCACCCACACAAAGGCCAGGGAGAGACATTCGCAGGCATGGGGTGAGGAGGGACGGGGGCTTTGCAGGGATGGGATGGGGAGGTAGGCTGGCACGGGAGGTCAGGTCGGCGTGGGCTTCCTGGGCCCATGGAGGAGGCAGAAAGGCAGGATGCAGCTTGTAGCCAGGTAGAGGAGTGACATAAACGGTCAGAGTGCCCTCTCCATCAGGGACATTGTCTCAGTGTCCCTTTAGTAATGCTGCAGGGGTGTCTGAGAGTGTGAAGGGCCTGGCCTTACTGTGAGCCAGGGGCTTGGTGTCCCCGGGTCTGGGAGAGATGGCGGGTGGGTGCTTCCCGTCCCCACCATGAGCCTCTCCTGGGCTCTGCGACCCCACTCCTGAGCCAGGTTCTGTCTGCCCTTCAGACCTAGCCGTGCTCTCTTCCTGGTGCAGCCTTCTCTGGCCCTGGTATGGCAATACCAACACCTGGTGTGACTCTTCCCTCTCAGTGTCCACGGACAAAGAGGGGTTGGGGCCTGCGCTCAGGAGGTGAATGGAACTCAGGGTCCCAGAGGGTCCGGGCAGGTGCTGTGGGCCTGGCGGGGCCTCTCTGGTCAGCTGTGACCGGTCAGAGCTCCACAGGCCTTGAGCATGCCCATCCACCGAGGCACCTGCCCCGGGGCCCTGGGGAGCTGCGGTCCTGGATATGGTGTAGGACTTGGGCAACAGGAGTCAATTCCCGAAAAGGGAGTGGCTGCGTCTGCTCAGGCCGACTTTGAGAAGACAAAGGATTGAGACACTCACAGACAGGCTTCCAGGAATGAGACAGAAGGGAAACGCAGGGGTGGGGCTTCCCTGGCGCTGCACACAGGTGAGGCTTGGTGTAGATGGAGAGAGGACGGGGTGGTGGGCAGGATCTGCCTTCCTGACACCAGGGGGTGAAGACACCCATAGCTTGCACCTGCACACACGCGTGTGCACACACACAAAGACACGCACGGAATTTATGTCTGTCCTTGAGATGGGACAGCTGGGTCTGTTCTTTGCTTCGTATGTGTGACCTTTAGCCAAGGAGCTGGTGCCAGTTCCCAGCCTGCAAGGGCACATCGGAAGAGGCCAGGATCTGCTCCGCTCTCCCTGGTTCCTGCAGAACAGCCCTGCTGCAGACCCCGGGGAAGAACTAGGCCACGTGCTCAGGACAGCTCCACGGCAAGCCAGCAGCCAGCGGATAGTCTGATATCATCAGCCCTTCTGTGTTCATGTGTTTGCACAAAGCCTAACTGCTAACCTGCACAAAGAAACCGGATTTATCCTGCTGGGTTAGTCACGGGGCAGCACTGGGCCAGATTCTGTTAGCAGGGTGTGCTCCCAGGCCCGAGGCCATGCAGGGCAGGGACCTTGAAGATCCTGGGAGCACGTGGGTGTGTGCACCATGGTTGGTGCTCAGAGTGGAAGGTAGAGGCAGCTGGAGTAGGGTGCAGCTGGCAACGCCCCACTGTTCCCTGGATTAACTGAGCCAAGCTTGCTAAGCGTGCATCCCAGGGTGTCTGGGATTACACGTCTGGTCTACCTCAAGGATCACTACTTCTTGTCTTTTCTATCTGGGGTCATTTGGGAGTGTGGCCACTGAGTCCCTGGGGCAGCAGGCACTCACCGTTACCTGCTGGGCAGGGACACTTTGCATCGGGATGGTTCCGGCTGATTCTGGCAGAGGGGTGGAAAGAACCACCTGCCTGGCGGAGGGGGAGCGGTGAGGCTGCTGCTGAACTGAATGCTTAGCAGGTGCAGGCACTAATTAGGAGCAGACCTTCTGGGAGATGCAGGCTCCTGGGCCCCCGGCCTGCGGAAGCAGGACTTAGGTAACTTTCCAGGGCTCCTCAGCCACTCGGCCACGGACCCAGAAATGGACTTTGAGGATTGCACCTGGGTTTTGCTTCTTTCATTACAGGATACAGCTGCCCAGCTGGGGCAGAACCACTCGCAGGTGTGCAGGCTTCCTTGGGGTCACCTTTCAGAGGGAGAAGATTCCCGTGTGGGTCGGAATTCCATCTGCTGCTGGGCGTGGGGCCCCGGGCTCACACACACCAGGGACCGGGAGCCTCAGATCCGGCCTCTCCAGCAGCTTCTGAATCCTCGCAGGAAAGCAGTGAAGCAATCCAGGCCCAGGCTATTCAGGCTAAATTCCAGGCTCCGCCCTGCCCTCCTCCAGAGATTTCGGTTCACAGGTTTTCACCTGCTTTTAACATTTCAAAGAGAGCTGTCAGTTTCTTACTTTAAAAAGGGAAGAAACACCTCTAGCTCTTAGAATGCTCAGAATCTCAAACTGAGCTGAGAGCTGAGAATGAGAAGCATCTTAACAGAACACCTGTTAAATTTTAATCATGTGCTGTTCTGATAGTAACAAAAAAAATCCAATCGTGGAGTTTGATTTCCAAAGATGATTCTGGAAACTTTCCTGGCAGCTTTCCTGAGGGGGCAAATGTCCTGAGACACACACCTAAGACGCTGGGGATTTCACAAGGAAGAAGCATGACTCAAGCCTGATTTGTTTCTAAGAGCAGCGTGGAAGTGGCCTCAGGGTCCCAGCCCTCACGGTGGGAACACCCCACCCTGCGCACTCTGCTTTGCACTTGGCAGCCCTGGCTTCCCCCTGGTTTGTTGCAGACCCCCCAGCTGACCGAGCCACTCCCCTGCCTTCATGTGCTTGGCAAACTGCAGATGCAGGTGCCAACTCGGTGGCTGGCATTGACCCCCTCCAGGGATGGGGGGGGCTCCCTGTCTCCAAAGCTTGAGTTCCAGGGGAGCCGATGCACAGCTCAGCCTCCAACTCATGTTAGTCTGAGCTTCAGCGCTGGGCCTCGCCTGCCTCGGGTACCTGCTGCTCACTCAGGCCAGGGCCCTTCGGGGAGCTGGGGGTGTCTGGTGCTGTGAATTTTCCTCTTGTCTACCCCACTCCAGGCCTGGACATCCACTGCATTCTTGGGTGTGCGGCTAACCTGCCTCACCTGGACAGCTGCTGGAGGCCTAGGAGTCCCACCAGGAAGGGCCGAATGTCACCATCATCACCCTGCCACTGGCTTTGTGTCTCCCTCCCAGGGCCACTCCACTGGGTGCTGGAGACCCGTGGGGCGTCTGACCCCTGGTGGAACAGCTTCTCAGCCTTTGCCTGCTCTGCCTGGAGCCTGCGGTCGTGGTTCCCGGCCTGTTTTCTCCCAACACCGTGCTCCACGATCTCCCCGTTTAGAAGCGTGGTCTAGAGCACAGCTCTGTGGGCCCCAGCTCCTGACGGCGTAATACCTGAACCACTGTGCTACCGACAGAAACAGTTTCTCCTTATTACGGGGCCGCCTTCCCCAAGTGGGGCACTTAGCTTTTCCTTCCTTCTCGTCACCTCCAGCATTTATTGTGCTGGTTTATTATAGTCTCGAGTTACAGACACTTTAGTGCACTTTGCGGTTATCCTAACCTTGAGCTTTTAGTGAAGTTGTATTTAACACGAATCCAAAGGTCAGTACTATTCCAAGACTGTTTTTTCAATGTCAGGGTATTTTTGATCCATCTGTGTTATGGCTCAGACCCAAATCCCCCCACCTAAGGCCCCACTGTGCTGAGGGTCATAGCCCAGTGGCTCACCGGGAGGCAGCACCTAACTGGCAGTGGCTCACCGGGCCCTGGCCGAGCTGGCTCTCCTCCTCTGGGTTTGCCCTGGAGCCAGCCACCGACCAAAGCCAGTCAACATGAACCTCTGCTCCTGTCTGCTGTGCAGGGTGGCAAGGAGTGGTGCCCAGTGCAACCCAGTGGCCGAGGCTTTGCTCCCGGTCCTGCAGAGGTCGCTTACCACGTGCTCATGTAGGTTATTTTATAACAAGTTAGTAGTACCCCGGTGCACAGCGTCTCGCATTAGGGATGCGGCGTGAAATGACTGAGTTCATTAACACGCCCCACCGTACTTTCTCCTCCCAGCTGTAACCTGCCCCCTTCTCCAAGTCCAGTTTTTCAGATTCCAGACACTGACTTCTGTCTCCTAGCCTGGCTGGCTTACAGTCTTCCGGGTTAATCCATGCGAGATGCTGTCCACTCCCGGGGACAGACGTATAGACAGACACACAGATGCGCTGTTCTGCACCCGGGCTTCTGTGCGTGTGTAGACCACAGGGCTGGTGCATGAGAGGATGCTTAGGTCAAGAAGCTGGAGTGGAAGGTGCAGTGTCCCCAGAATCCTTTCCCTGGCTGCAGACCCTCACCCGCCGTCCTGGCCGCTTCCTGGCCCTTCCTCTCGGCGTCCTGCTCGGTGGCCTCAGTGGCCGCTGCGCCTGCCTCAATGCCCTCTGCTGATTTAGGTTGCTGACTCTTCCCCTCACCCCGACTCTGGGGAGGAGCCGCTCTCTGGGCGCCACTGTGGGAGGTGGAGGATCTAAGGTTTGCAGGAACCTGCCCTCCCACCCACCCGGCAGTCCTAGGCAGCAGCCCTTCCTGTGGTTTTGATCGCTCCTTGTAAACGCCACTCAGGGAGACTTCAGGACAGCTTCACAAAGCAGCAAGATTGAAAGAAAAAAAAAAGCAGACTGCAGGAAGCATTCACAGTGAGGGCGTGAGCCTGAGGGATCCATGGCAATGTGTCTTTTTACTGCAGTGATTTTTTTTCTGGGTGCCAGGAATCGAACTCACAACCTCACTTGTCAGGCAGGCAGTCTCTGCAGCCCAGCCATAATTTGATTTAAACACTGCCACTGCTCATACATCAGCACGGGGATTTCAGGTTCCCAGGATGCAGGCCGAGGATCTCACCCAGTCTGCAGAGTGCCCCGCCTCCAGCCCACGCTGGGGCTTCAGGGGAAACCACCATCGAACTGCCCTCCCATGGGGAGGAGGAAAGGTTCCTTCTACACAGCTCTGAGCCCCAAGTGTGGGTCTTGGCGCAGAAACTGGAGAGTAGAGCACAGGAGTGCTGCAGCGGGAGGGTGGGACGGAGCAGGCTGGAGGTGGACCCTCGACTCCGTGTGACCGTGTGCCCCGGCCAGGCTTCCCTGGGTGGCCAGGTAGTCACCTGGTTTCCCTCAGCCTGTACCCGCCAGCGCCAGGACAGCTGGGCCTGCGTGCACGTGTGCTCGGTGGACTTTTAGTTTGCTGAGGGTGGTTACAGGGTTCTGTGCGCGTTCCGGAACCAGCGCGTCTGCTGGTTCCCCAACCTAGAGATGTCAAGTGCTGCAGTGACCCTGACGTTCTCTCCACGGATTCCCTTTAAAAACTTATGGGCGGCGGTGCCTCAGATGCCCACTTGTTCCCCACCACTCCGCTTCCCACTGACGCTAGCATCATGGCGTGGGCCGCTGCTCTACTTTGGGGAAGCAGCTGGCGGAAGCTCACCTCGAGAGGCCCCGGAGGGCATGCCCCTCCTGTGGTTTCTGCCGGGGTGCCCTCCTCTGAGCTCCTGTCCGACGCCCACCGTGCACCCCCAGCCAAGGGTCTCCAGCGGCCCCAGACACTGTGGCCAGTGGGTGAGCAAACGGAACAGGACAGGACAGAATACGATGGCCTTCCTTTCTGCCCCCCACAGCTCTTCACCTTCCGGAGGCTGTGAGGAAGGGGGACAGGAAAGGAGGCGGCCGTCCTGGGCTCGCGAGTAGCAGCCCCTTCCCGGAGAGCGCTACTCCGGGGTCTCAATCACACATTCCTGCTCAGCTGCCTGTTTTGTGTGGTCTTTGCTGTCCTAGCAGTCAGGGAAAGTGAGTGAGGCCTACAAGAGGTACTGTCCTTCAGCTTAACACCTTGGTTCTGCTCCATGGACCTTTGCCTGGAACCCCCGCTCATGACACCGGTTCTGGTTCCGCTGTGATGTGTGGCACCAGCCTGGACTGTGATCAGAGACAGCAGAGCCCGGAACCCTTAACACCGGGTGGAGGCTGGGACGGAGAACACCAAACCCGCCTGAGAAGCTAACCCCCAGCTATTAGGGCCCCACAGGTCCCCGGAACCTTGTGAGGCGGCCGCGTTAGTGCCCGCACTTCAGCGGGAGGAGCACGGACCGTGCTCCACTGCCACACACAGGAGCCTTCAACAGACCCTGTGCAAACCGTGTGAGCTCAGCTCAGCTCCGCTGGGATAAGCAGGCCAGTCCCACTCGGGCAGAAGCTTTATTGTTTCACAAGTATGCATTCTACGCACTATGAGATGGTTAAAAGTCATTTCCCGATTTCTGCAATAAATACTTACCAAATGTACCCATCATCTAAGCAATCGTACAGACTTCTTCCCACCACTGAATCCTTCTGGTTCTGTGTTCAAGCACTGAGAAGTGTGCCGTCATGGTCCACGCAGGACACAAAGAAAACTGCTGGGCAAACTTTGGCGCACTCTCCCCACCCCACTTCGGATCCACTTTTTCAGGCGGCTAGCTTTGCTTTACAGTGCTTCACCTAAGACGGAAGGCGAGTCCAGCAGCTTAGGAGAAAAGCTGCTTTGATAAAAATCCCTGGTGTATGCCACGGCAGGTTTTTCTAATGACATCAAGACTGAAGAGCTGAAAAAAGTCGGCACATATTCAATCAGACCTCAGCACTGCTGCCACAAATCCTGGTGGCTGTAAGCATGCTGCTTGTGTACTGTAAAAAGCAGCAAATGTCGTGTTTTGAACAGTTGACTTAGAGATGTTCAGGGATCTGCTGCTTTAGAGAAGCCGAAGGAAAACTCACAGACACGATCCCACTGGGGACAGCCAAGGTGACAGACACTCGGCAGCATCCCGACGCAGCTCCGTGGAGACAGCACCCAGCTGCAGAGCAGGGGAGGAGCCCGGCTCCATCCAAAGGCAAGCACAAAAACAGGCCTCACCAGTCTGGGGTGTGCTAGAGCCCGAGAGCGGGGACAGTGGTGCGGGAGCCTACTCTGGTCTCTGTGCCACAGCCTGGACATCACTTGCAGCATCACTCCAGTGTTTAGCGTCCCAGTCCAACGTGGTGGTGCGTGTCTGTAACCTCAGCACTCGGAGGCTGAGGCAGGAGGACGGCCTCAGTTCCTGGCCTGAGTGCAGGCCAGCCTGAGCTGCACAGTGAGTTCAAGGCCAGCCTGAACTACACAGAGACATCTCTCAAAAACAAACAAAAACCCCCAAAAACAGTGTGCCCCAAAATGACACAGGCACACACACATATGCTAAATTTCACTTACTCTAGTAAACTCAAAATTAGGTAAAATACATGTCCTCCTAACATAAACTTTAGTTTTTGTATTTGTTCAACAAAGTGTCTTAAAATTACTCAGATATGAGAGTTGGAAGTATTTATGTGCTTATTTGGAAGAGAACTGTGGAATTTATTCTCTAAAAGAGCAGACCTCGGGGTCACGTTCCTGAACACTGAGCCGTCCGACACGGCCTCCTCCTCCGCCACACCTCAGCAGGGCTGCTTCACCAGAGTGCCACCGACATCGCCTGCTGAACGAGGCGCGCGGCGTGGCCCAGGCCGGTGCGGGGCTCACTTCTTCCTGTTGCCGCCCGCTGCCAGCATGGTGGCCACTCGCATGAATATGTTTAACACATCCATGTAGATCGCCAGCATCCTAGGAAAGAAAGCGATCACCTTATCTGTGCTGCACCCCAACAGCGATGACAGCCAGGCCTCCTGGTGACCTGCCCTGGCCATCGGAACGCAAGTTAAAGTGACCGCTCCGCTGCCGATGGAGGAAATCCCAAGGGCCAACTTTCTCCTCTTTGTGCATGGATCTCTTCAATTTGAAGAACAGTTTTTTTTTTTTTTAAACTTTTCTTTTGGCGGGTACTGGTGATCGAACTCATGACCTCGAGCTTGCCAGATGAAGAGCACTTTTTAAAAGTATTGTTTTGGGGGCTGGGGATTTGGCTCAGTGGCATAAGTGCCTGCCTTGCAAGCAGGCGGTCGTGAGTTCGATCCCCAGTACCAATAAAAAGGAAAAAGACAAAAAAAAAAAAAAAAAAAAAGTGTTGTTTTGTTCTCTGACACTAAGTATGGTATCTTGCAAAAAAACAACAAAACTTAAAGAACCCCTGGGTGACAGTCAAGACAAACCAGACAGACACAGTCTGGGGTTTCAATGTATAAGGTACCAGTTTGCTAAAGGAAAGTGCTACAGATCTAAGCTTTAGAGTGACATTTTTCAAGCCGTAACATTGGGTTTTATTTTTAGGTCAAGAAAAATAAATTGCTTTAAAATGTGGCAGTATTACGAAACGCTAAAAAGTTTTCAACAAAATAATTTTGGTAAAATCCTACAGGAGAAACTACTGAATGCCAATTAAAACTGAGTATTTGTAAGGAGCAGTATTTATACTGAAAAGTTTCTAATTTTTAGAAATGACTTTTTACCTTTTAAAAGTTCAGTCAATTACGCATATTTTCCAATAAATACTACAGTACTTAAGTGAGTAAATCCTTCAATGTTTTACTTAGTTGTAATATTATCAGAGGTTTTTCGGGATATATAAGTATATAGTACACTAAAGCAAGAGAACCGATCAAACTGCACCGGAACAAAACAGTAAAATCCAACAAAGCCACAGCTGGAGGCTGACGTGTGTCCCCATGAGCATGTGTGCAGCCCTAACCGGCACCTGGGAATGTGACTTTATCTAAGGTAGGATTTTTGAAAATGAGGTCACAGTGGGCCTTTAGTCCAGGGCTACTGGTGGCCTTACAAAAAAATGAGAGGAAGCTGGATAGGGTGGCACACGCCCGTAACCCCAGCACGTGGAGGCTGAGGCAGGAGGTTGCCCTGAGTTGGAGGCCTGCCTGCACTAGCTAGTGAGACCCTGCCCCCTCCCCGCCCCAATGGAGAGAAGCCGGCCAGACGCACAGGGAGCCAGGCAGGGCTGGACTGCCACCTGCACTACGGGGCACACCGTGGACTGTCGCAGATGGCGCAGAGAGAAGAGGAAGGTACCGCACTTCCGGGCTCCAGAACCGGAAGCCAGCGAACGCCTGCTGCCGTGAGCTGCCCGCCTGTGGCAGCTAACGGGTGTGCTCACACCAGGGGCAGAGGGGAAAGGCCACTTACGAATTGATGGGGTCGAACTTCTGGGCTCCGTACACCGGCGTGATCTCCGCGCGCTTGATGACTTTCTGAGTGTCGTGCAGAAGGAACATGCTGAATAGCGCTAGCCCGCCGTACACGGCCACCGTGTACAGAGCGGAGCCGGCCACGGTGGTGGGCGGGATGAACATCGAGCCTGGAGTCAGAGTCAGGGAGGTGTAAGATTCGGGGTCTTCTTCTAGGGTTGTAATTTACACTGCCTAGACCCCTCTTCGGGCTGGGCACAGTGAAGCATGCCTGCAATCTCAGCACTGGGGAGGCCGAGGCAGGAGGACTGCTGTGAGTTCAGGTCCACCTGAACTACGTAGTGAAATCCTATTTCAAAAACAAAGCCCCAAGTCTCACGGTGCCCCATGTGGATGGGACACCTGAGGGCTGGGCCCCGATCCTATGATCTTACAGCAGCTCAGAGCGGGTGCAGGCACCCCGAGTTACAGGCAGGCCCTTGCACCACCTCAGTGTGCGTTCTCCAGACCGTTTTAGACGTGTCTGCGAAGCCGCACGCCAAGATTAAGGTTCACAAGAGGTCAAAGGCCACCGAATCGGCATGCCTGTCTCAGACATCCTCAAACGGGACTCTCAGAGAACTAAGGTGCCCACTTGAGGACCTCAGGCGCAGTGGCTTACCCAGCGAGGCGGCGAAGACGAGGCCCAGGCCCACGCCCAGGGGCGCGCCCATGTTCAGGAACTTCTCACTGGGCGCGCACATGGCCACGGTGGACAGGCCGCCCACGATGCCGGCCGTGTACCACGCCGCTCTGACAAGGAGGGGGCCGCCCAGGATGGTTAGAGGCGCCACCACCGCTCCCATCACACCTGGGGAAGGAGGGCACAGGCTCGGTTAGCGCTGGGAAATAACCACCACCTCCAACACTGCTGTGCCAGGCCATCCCAGGACGCCTTCCCTCTGGGTGACACTGCATCCTGACTTCACAAGCTGACCTGTGGCTCCACTAACACACTCCTGGCCCATGGCCCTAACTCACCAACCTGCATTTTCTCCAACTGAAATTTCATGTTTTCACAGCACATAAGAATCCACATAAAAACGCTTAAAAGACACTCAAACCTACGGCTGCCCACAGGATAAAGTGAGAGGAAGAACAGATGAGGGCCACCTGGAAACGCGGGGCTCCTACCAGACACTGGTGCTGCTGTGACAGGAACACCGTGGCAGCTCAGGAACTTAATTTTAGCTGATATACTTTGTAGGCGAAGTAATCGGGAGAAACAGCTTGGGAGGAGCTGCTGTCAGCTCGAAGCAGCACAAGTTATCTCGCTGGAACACACCCAGGGGCAGGTGCCGAGGCCCCTGCACCCACGTCTGCGGTGTTAGTGCCTTCCTGGAGCAGACGGGACACTCCCAGAGCAGTAACCAGGCCCCTGGACTGCATGAGCTGAGCGCCACAGCCCTGCATGGCACGCGCCAGGCAGGACTGGCTGGCACGCAGTGGCAGCAGGGTGGAGAACACGAGCCGGGGTTGGGGCACTGCGCTCTAGCACACGCGCAGGACAGAGGCGGGCAGGCAGGGACGCCGCTGCGGGGCGGGCTCCAGCAGCAGAGCGGTCCCGGGTAGCTTCCCTGTCCCTGCCAAGGCCCCGAGGGGAAGGAGAGGATCACGCAATCACAGCAGTCTGTCCCAAGTGGGTGCAGATGGGGAGTCTGCTAAGGGCCAGAAGCCGGGGACAACTAGATCCCACTGCAGTGGCCACCAAAACCCAGCCCCAGCCCTGAACGGGACTGGGAGGCTGGCCCGGGGCTGAGCCAGCAGAGCGGCCTGGCCAAGGCATTCCCCGGCCCCGCCCATGACCCGCATGGGGAGGAGTCAGTCCGGGGGGACCCTGGGCATTCCCTGCGTGGGGAGCACCGCTACAAGAAGAGCACAGAGAAGCAACCACTGCGAGGAGAAGTGGACAGAGAATCCTGCCTGCCTGAAGACCGATCCCAGCCCCTCCAGAGGACGTGATCGGTCCCACCCCAGTGCAAACCCCACTGAGGCCTGGGGGATGACCCAGCACACTTCTAGGGGCCGCCGGGACACCACCCCAGAACGGAGGACACCGGAGGAGTTCTGTCACTTTACCACTGTTTGACTGGCTTCCTTATTCTGTCAGGCTGGGTTTTTCTCGTTTTCTTTTTTCACTGTTTAGGGAGGATGACTGACTTAAAATACACGCTACTCTAAGAAAGATACTAGAAAAAGAATTCTACCTAGGACACTGCTGTCGGGACTCCCATGAATTCTGCAACAGGCAACACGTTTTTAGCAACTTAAAGTTTTTGCTTTTTCTGAAGCCACCAGGCCAAAGCAACTCTCAAGTGACCCAGAGCAGACCCAGTATCCTCCTGGCATCGGACAAAACACCCAGGCCAGTCTCTACTCACTACACCATCACGGGAAGACCAAGTGTGCTTTTTCAGGACATGTGTGCTCGTGGGATCAATCTTTCAAAGGGAAGGTCTGACAGTAAAGCCACTAGCGACTACCGTGGGAAACTGTTGACACTCGTCAGGAGTCACTTAAGATGGGCAGCTCCGGGAGCTGCCTCACGACAGACAGAACATACCGGAATGGAGCAACCAGGCGAGATGCTTCGGGCCTGGCTGCTGCTCGTAGGGTATGGACTGCACCAGCATTCCAGCTCCAATCATGGCTACAAAAGTTGCACCGACTGTCTGAAAGACACATTAGGAAGAAAAGGGGATCTTCACACAAAGGCAAAGCAGGACGATCCGGCGCGTCTCATCAGCTTGAAAAGATGAAGACCAGGACAGGAGTCCTGCCTGTCTAGCACACTGCAGGCGCTGGGTTTCAGTCTGGGCTGTCAGCTGCCAGGGCGGCAGATGGCCCCAGGACAGGAGTGGAGCGCGCCCTGGGCAACAGCATCTTTTAACCATTTTCTTCTTGTCTGAGAGGTCTGTCAGAATTCCAGGCTGGTACTAAGACTGCTCGTAGTACCAAGGATGGAATCCAGGGCTCACCTGAGCCACATCCCCAGCCCTTTTTAAAGTTTTATTCTGAGACAGGGTCTTGTCGAGGCTGGGCCTGGACTCCTGACCCTCCTGTCTCGGCCTCCCCAAGTGCTGGCAATCATTGCCATGTGCCACACCACTTACTGATCAAAGACGTATTTTAGTTTAACACATGCAGCATTTAAGTCAGCGATGGTCTACTAGTTATAGACACACACACACACACTACACTGCCTGAATTCCTTGTTTGCTGCATGCAAAGCAGAAAAACAGAAGGTAAATACTACAGCACATAAAAAATAGGAAAAGACAAGAGTCCACGCTTCCACCTGCCCAGATTTACGGCCTTTCGTGTATCTGAGATTTCCATTGTTATCACAAACATTCCTTGTGCAGACAGAGAAATAATACAGCCAGATGTGGGATGCATGGGAGGATGGGCAGGAGGACCACAGGACACTGGCTGGCCGGGACTGCAGAGCATCCTGGAGAAACCCTGCCTCGACCCCCACACCTCGAAAAAGCAAGGAGCATCGTGGAAGGAAGACGGGGACAGTGCACCTTGGAGAAATGCAAACCTGACGCCTTTGATCAAATCAAAAGGCAGGACACTGTGGCCAGCAACCCCTAACACCTGTGAATATCTTCAGATGCCAACAGTCCTGGGCCTGCTCGCTCGCTGACCCACGGGCCCAGAATGCTCAACCTCTGACAGGAGGCCAAGCACAGGAAAATACAACAGCTGTCCTTGCAGAGGACAAGAGAGCCCACCAGGCAGAAAATCGTACTGGGTTCCATTTCATCACTGTCCAGCCGGAAACAGGAGCATCACTCCATACAGCCTGCGTGTGCAGGGCCGTCAGGTGTTTCCGGCTGTCCCCAACAGTCTACCCGCTTTTTACGTTTCCCACCCTGCTCCAGCTGCACTTAACGAGCAGGGCCCTGAGCACGCCCCGAAGTCTCTCAGCTTCTGCACGGTGCTGAGAACAGTCCTTGATCATCCGTCCACCCGCTCCTCCTCGCCAGCCGCTCCTTCCAGGAGTGGCAAGCCGGGTGTGGTGGCGCACGCCTGTGATCCACCACTTGCGAGACTGAGGTGAGAGGATTTCTGAGAGTTCGAGGCCAGTCTGGGCTACAAAGCAGGTTCAGGGCCAGCCTAAATGACACAGTGAAACTCTGTCTCCAAACATACGTTCAGACAGCCGTGCGGCTGTGGAGGAGAACGTACCGGAGGTGTCAGGGATCTGGGCCCTCAGGAGGGGACATCATGAAGGCCCTACACCTCTCCGAGCTCCACTCCTCATCCGCTGCTACAGTTCAACCCGATGGTCCCCATTTCAGGTCTCGCGAAGGCATAATGCACACCTGCCGTGTCTCCTCCACACCGGCCTCAGTGTTTAGACACAAATGCTGCTGCGGGCTCTGCCCAGGCCCTGATGACCTTGGTACTCGCCCCAGCTGGAAACCCTGCACACCCTCCCTGGTCACGGCTCCTGCCAGCTCCAGACCTCACGTACTGAAACTGTGCTCTGACCCCCGCAAGCCCCCTTCCCGATGAGGGCTTCTACCTCCTCCCCCTGCCAAGCCGCGCAGCAGAACAGGACTGCTCTGGTCTTCTTGTGAGAGTATATAAATAGTGGTAAATCGCACTGCAACATTTACAAGACCTACATGCAGCAAACTAGAAAATATTACAGAGAAATTAAAAATTTCAAGGAACATTTTAAAGGTGAAACATTTGAAGATAACGATTTTCTATGAAATCCAAACCGACTGTGTATCCTGTACCAATATTCCCAATTCATCTCTTCTATCTGCAGAAAAATAGGGCCCACATCTGAAATCCTATTTTGGTATCTAGCAAAATAAGTGCTGAGTAAATATTCATCGAATATAAAATCTTATTTAAGGCCAAACAACTCAGGAGTAACTTAGGAGTGGCAGTGTCAGTCTACCTCAAAGCAGACTGCGTGGGCATTTTGACTAGTAGTTTCCACTGATCTTTAAGATGTTTCTGAATTTGCTTTAATATTGAGGAAACTGCTATATAATAGAGCCTACTTGCCATTTTCTGTATTGAAGAACAATCCTGCAAGTTTGATTTACAATTCCTTTGTCCTATACTGAAATATACATTCAATAAAGAACTGAATTCAGGCCGGGTGCGGTGGCTTATGCCTGTAATCCCAGCACTAGGGAGGCTGAGGCAGGAGGCCTAGGCTATAACTGAGCCCAAGACCAGCATGAACTGCACAGCGAGACCCTGTCTCAAAAGACAAAAAAAAACCCCCAAAAACAAAAAAAAAAAAAAAAGGAATTCAGTAAGTATTAGCTTAGCTGACTGAGAATATGTTTTCTCCTCTGCTCAGCTCTTACGATCACACTAATTCACATGATCCATTGAACGAAAACATATTCAACTTAGTATCTTCCATTTAGTACCCCCATATGTCACCGGATCTTTTGATCTTCAGCTGGCAAAGGGAAATGAAGACCAGCTTGCTTACCACCAACGAGCCTCTCATCATGAAGTTCATGAGAACAGGGCTTCTGGCTACTGCCAAGGCAGACAGAGCTGTGAAGCCCACACTGCCTGCCAAGTACATGTAGGTGGAGTGGATCCTGTCCTTCACATACTGAGGCCAGACTCTGGAACAGATACAAGGCGGTCAGTGAGCAGTGTCACGGATGTGACACCGGCTGCTTCGTTCACTAGCTAGACGCCCTGGCAGTGATATCCCTTCAGTGGTCCTCACCTTATTCAGTTAGATTACTGGGAAGCACCCTTGAGTCACCATAAGGACTAAATAAACAAGCACTTGGCTTATACTAAAAGTAACGTACTTTCTCGTTGTTCAAATGTGTAACATCTCAGTAAAAGATGTGTATATAGGTTTGAAAAAATACATGCCGAGAAATACTCATGTGCACAAACAGATAAGCCTAGATGCAAAATACTTCAACACTGACTGAAAACTAAATGATGAGAAAAACACGACTTGTATAGTAAGGAAGGCTTTACATTTTTGGAACAGTTTACTTACACAGCCTTTTCAATGGCCCCTATCTCATTCGACATGCCCAAGCCGTAGTAGCACAACGCTCCAAGACCCACGGCAGCCCCTCCGGCAAGGAAGCATTTTCCTAGCTGTTCAACTGCAGAACACGGGAGAAACACACAACATTACTACATCACGTCTCCAAGTGCAGGGTGAGGCTTCAAACGTTTGCAAGAGGACAAGTCGTAGCCCTGTTTCTTCCTTATAGCCATTAATACAATGTGGCGACACAGATGTCCTCAAAGTTAGGAGAGAAGGACGTTCCCACAAAGGTGAAATGTCCACTGCATAAAGCAGACCTGATTAACCTTGCACCTCATTCAGCAACAGCGCGTCTGCAGGTGTGCGTGTGACCTGGGCTCTCCACTGTTTCATTACAGGGTTTGCAGCTCTCAGTAAAGTAAGGGAAATCTCAACAGCCCCCCACTGGGTCTACGGTGGCATTACAAAGATGTGGCTTCACATGGGGTCAAGAGGACAAGAAGAGATGTGATGGGGACCTACGCAGCAGAACTGAGGGAGACGGCGCGCTGGTTCACAGAACAGGCACCCTGCCGGCTACTCACTCTCTCTTTGTGGTAGGGGTTTTGTGAAACAGGGACCACTACGTAGTTCAGCCTGGCCTCAAACCTGCCTCAGCCTCCTCAGGGCTGGAATTACACGCATATGCCACCGTGCCCGGCTGCAACTCCTCCTTGATGGAAATCGATGCTCATGAAGGGCACGTTGCTTTCTAAGTTGGCTGATCAAGAATATTAACTATGCTACTGCTATATAATCTAGGATTTGTCTTCTAGGGCTAACCTACTAATCAGAAACAACGGTTCTGAGGGTTCCTGGTTAGGGCAACCTCTGTAATACACTGACATTAAGACTGTTAGGAAACACTTGTATTCTTGTTTAGATGTCAGAAGATCAATAATCTAGTTTTGAACATGCAAAGCTGGAATTCAAACTATGCCTCAAACCCACTGACTTGAGATGTGGCCAAGCGTAACACACCTGAGTGAAGATTCTCTACGCTTTCAACTGAACTTCCTTAAATGCCTTATACCTTTTGGGTCATGGTATGGTAATAATCTTTTTTTTTTCCCCCTAAAAATGTGAAGTAAAACCAAACCCATGGCAAAATACCCATCTCTCTGAGGTCATCAGATCCCGAATGGTAATATGGCCCTTTATCTTCCCAGAAAATACTGATAGGTATAACTCTGTATACTTCAGGAGGCTGCCCATGGAGACTCATTTATTTATTCTGGTACAGGGAATCAAACTCAGGATCTTACACATGCCAGGCAGGTGCTGAAGCCTCTGAGCTACACCCCCAAAACACATCATGGACTTGGGGTTAGAAACAAACGTCTGTCACCTACTTTTATATGCTTTTTCTACTGATGGTTCCATCGCTGCCTCTTTGAGTTCTTGGGCAGTTTTTCCCCGGCGGATTCCAAATCTTGACCTGGTGGCATATTCCTGGATATATGTGCAAAGACAGACCGTCGACATCAAAACAATTACATTAATAACAAAACATATCTCTACACTAGCCAACTGTTTAAAGCAGTATGGTGCTTTTTACAATGTAATGTCTGTATAAAAGTCACTAAAAGCATAAAGTATAGACCTACCTGCCTTGCATCTTCAAAATGATGCAATTAACATACTCAACTATTTAAGTTTCAGAATACTTTTAAATCATAGATTTTTACTTATATACTTAAAATTATTGTATTTTAATGCTAACCAAATATCAAGATGAGACTCTATTAAATAATAGCTATGTTCTGTTATCCAGAGAATGGGCTCAAAAAAGGTCTCTCTTGAAGACAAAGCAAAGGGGGAGCCACGATGACTGGCTCTAGGCCTTTTTAGCACTCTAACAGTTAATTTAATGGGGAGAAAATTGTGTATTCTCCTTAATTCTCTCACACTTCAAACCTTCTCCATTCCTTTAAACGCTAGAGCAGTGATATACTGTAAAAGGAAAAGGGCGTCTATAACCTATAAATTTTATGATTTTCAACAAGTACTGAATTATTATCCTTAATAACTCATTAAAGAGGCACTTGTAAAATCTCCGGGTCCTTTTAAGCACCTGATTGTAGGCCTGACCCCTGATTTTTCTCCTGTCTGTACCACAGCACTCACTTTGTGAGTGAGAAGTCCTAAGAGCCTGTAGCAATGGAAAAGTTACAGGAATCCTTTTCTTTTTCATACAGGATAACCAGGATCCAGAATGCTATAGAATTGGTGGGAGAAGAGGGCTGACGACATTTCTGATGTCACTGTTACTGATAATTGCTTCACTACACTGTGTTAGCCCTCAAGGCAGGGAAGGCTACACTCTGCTCACACCAACCCAACCCAACCCTCCAATCGGTCCTCAGGAGTAAAGAAACACAGACAGCCGGCCTTTACCCTGCTGGGTGTTAAGAGCCATTGATGCTTCTTGGTGGAATTCTTCACGGTGGGGGAGGTGGCCTTGGTGAATGCTGGGTGGAAAACCCTAGAGGGTAGTGTCCGCAGACACACGAGCCTTGCAGCCAGCATGGTGACGCACTGATTCACCCAACAGATCTGAAATGCTAGTTAGAAACACAAATAGAAAACAAAAATGGTATTAATTAAGCAACGTACCCAGAGAAGTACACTAGGAAAAAAAATTTGTCTTTTGTTAAAAAAAAAATAATAGCTGGGCGTGGCGGCACACATCTGTAATCCCACCACTCAGGAGGCTGCGACAAGAGGATCCGTGAACTGAGGCCAGCACGAACTGCAGTGAGACCGTCCCCTCTCCTGAAAAAGGTTAACAACCTATTCAACAATGACTCCTCCACCGATCTCTTCCAACTCAAGAATCCGGCTCCACAGAGCCCAGTTTGGAATGGAGCACCAAATTAGGTTTAATCAGTCAGACCAACATGCATGAATCCACAAGTCATATGGGACACAGAGCCAATGTTGTCATCGAAACAGTGACTACAGGGGCTGCGACTGCTTTTAAAAATGTAGCTTTATACCAGCATTGAACGGGAAGCCTTAAAGCAGATCTGTGTAACTTCTGAGCACAGGAAAACTGTCATCTAGGGCTGAGATGAGTAACTCTTTGAGGTCGTATTATATTACAAGGCTAAAGGACAAACTCAAGCCAAACAGGTCACTCGAATTAAGCAAACCTAGGGCATATGCCTTTCTACAGCTACATAAAGGTCAGCCTCGCTTTCCAAGTAAACTCGGCTGTCGGTCAGGTTTCCCTCAGGTTAACCCGCACTCCCTCGGTGGTGATTTTAACAGAAAAGCATGTTCAGCTGAGTGTGAAGGATTCCAGATCCGTGGACAGCCAAAACGGAGTCGCAGGTCCTTCGGCAGCACACAGACGACTGTCAGGTAAGAATGAGATGACAAGCGTAAGCCGGCTCGGCCACCGATAATCTGCCGTGAATCTTAGGCAAGTGACCACCTGTGTCTCATTTTTCCCACTTGTAACAAAGAAAAACGATCAGAACAGTGATCAGGTTACAGCGCCAGCTCTCAGTGTCTATCCTTTGAAACCGTCTAAGACTAACAAAATGTAATCGCCTCGGTCCTTCGCTCTTTCTAGTGATTTTACCTTTAAAAACGGGACGCGGAATATGCGTCTTGGCCCCTAATTTAAGTTAACGTTTCTTAAACATTCAACTCTGCTGCAGCTGCTATGGATATGCATTCTTTGGGGGAAACACCGAACCGTCCCAGCACTTTCATGCCATTACATCACCTCGGCAGTCACCTCCCCGGCACCGACACGGAGCTGGGGCAGAGGTCGCTCAGCTCGGCACCGCTCCGCTCCGGCTGCAGAGGGGAGTTTCCACGCGCTAGAGGTGACCGCCCGGGCGCGCCCTGCTCTCGGGAACGACGCCCTCGATACCCCTGCGGGGCACTGCCGGCCCTCGCGGAAGCCGGCGGCTTCGGGGAGCACGGAGCAGCGCGGGCACCTCGCCGCCCAGCAGGCGGCGGCCAGCAAGGGCGAGGCCCGGTGTCTGTCCCGGCCCCAAGCTGCCGCCCTCCCCACCGCGACCCCGCGCGCGGACGGCGACCCTGACGCGCAGCCCGGCTGTGACGCAGCCAACGCGCCGCTGCACCCTGCCCACCGCAGCGGCCCCACCAAGCCGGCCGTCAGCACTACGCGCTGTCGCATCGGAGCCCCCGGAGAAGTACCTTAGCTCCCGGTCACCTCCAGCTCCCAGTTCCCCTTCCGGGTCCGCGGAACACTTCGGCGCCAACAAGCTGACCTTCCACCCGCTTCCCTCTTAAGGCTGCTGCGCGCGCTTCCGTGACGTAACTTCCGGTAGGAGGTAAATAGTCCAAACAGCCAATCCAGAGCGGGTTTCTGCCGGAAACGCGGACACCGCAGGGGAGGAGCTTCCGGTCTGGTGGGCGGGACCAGTGGGGGATTGTGGTCGGAAGCATCATAATCCGCGTCCATTTTGGATGTGGGCTATGAAGTCGTCTGCCCGTTTTATTTTATTTAAATAAAACGTTTTATTTCCTATATAATACATATTTATTTTTTCATACTAATACACTCTAATATTACAAAAGCAATTTGGTGGGGTAATATTTCTTTTGATATTTGAGTCATCTGAAGGCAAACAACTTATTTGTTTAAAAAATGTGTTTGGATAACAAAAAGTTAAAACAACAAAATTGTCTTTTTTTGTAGGTGGACACTGAGTTGAACCTGATTCAGTTTTCTTTTGAAGAGCCTCCAAAGACAAAAAGTCAGTTTAAGACCTAAAGGGAATTAAATTGCTTACTGAACTACTGGTCTCGGGCACCATGTTCTGTGCTTTGATGCAGGCTTTGGCTTCTCTTCTCTCTCAGCTAGCTGCCCCGTGTTCATCACCAGCAAATGTTGTTTTCTGATCCTCAAACCGTATTTTGTCTTTAGCTGACCCAGCCTGGGCAGCGTTCCTTTTCTTTAAATGTGTGACTTTTGATTACGGATTCTTGTTGATTTTGGTTTTTTTTGAAACCTTTTTTTTCTTCTCCCTATCTTTCTAGTATTTTTCATGGCACTTGGTTGTGTTTTAACTGTATCTTATCATTATTTACGTCTTTGGCTCTATCCAGCACTGTTTTGGCTTTTTCTTTAAGTAGAATCATTCCCTCTTTGGCCTCTCTGATGAAATCCATCCATTTTATTTCATCATGATCCATAAAAAAGAATGTGCAGATCTTCTCTATGGGTCTGATTAAGCCGCCTGAAAACTTGATAAAGTAGTCAGTCTTTTAGAGATTTCATTCCAGCATCTTCTGCTAACATTTTTCCCCTTCTGTTTCTTTATGAGTCAGTGTGGAGTTATATAGTCCAGGCTGACCTTGAACTCACCATGTAGCACAAATTGTCCTTGAATTTTCAGTGATCCTTCTCTCTCAGCCTCCCTGGGATTTCAGGCATGCGCTACCATGCCCAGCCCTGTGTTTCTTTTTGCTTTTGTGTAGCTTTTTTGTTTATTTGTTTGTTTGTTTGTTTTGAGACAGGGTCTCACTATGTAACCCATGCTGGCCTTGAACTCACAGCAATCCTCTTGCCTCAGCCTTCCAGATGGTGGGACTAGAGGTACGTGCCACCATGCCTGGCTTTTGTTTAGCTGTTAATTTAGCTTCCACTTTATTTTGATTTCTTTCATTTTACTTTGCAGAATAATCTTCCTTAAAAGGTATTAGTAGGTCTGTGTCTTTGTACTTCTGGCCTAGAGTTTCCACAATCTTGGCAGATTTAGTTCTATCAAACACAGTGAGTATTGATCCTTTAAATGCTTTTTGCAGTGTTCTCATCTAGATATTTAACACTTGACCTTTATCGTCTAGCCATTCTTTGATGCCATCAAGGGTTGTGTTCATTGGAAGCCTTTAATATAAACAGCTGTCTTGGTTTTTTTTTTAATTTTTTGTCTTCCTGAGACAGTTTCAGTATGCAGTTCAGACTGGTGATCATTCTTTATAGCTGAGTAGTACTCCATTGTATAAAAAAATCACAACTTTTTAAAATCTGTTCCTCAGTTGATAGACGCTTAGGTTGTTTCCAAGATTTGGCTGCTACAAATTGTGCTTCTCTAAACATGGATGCACATATATCACTGTGGAATGATGTTTTCAGTTCTTCTGGGAATATACCTAGAAGCAGAATAGCTGGGTTGTATGGAACCTCCAATCCCAGCTTTTTGAGGCATCTCCAGACTGATTGAGACCCACTTTAAACCAAGCACTGTCTCATGGATAAGATTGAAACACTGAAGGGCCTGTATTTTGCTGAAACGAGATCTTTGCCATTTTGTGATGCAGATGGAAAACAGACAAATGTAACTGGTGATGTCAGACAAACGTTAGCCGTTGGCGAGGACTGTGAGCTCTAGGCAGCGCTGCTGTGGACACGGTGCCGAACCACATGTAAGGTTCAGGACCCTTTATCTCTAAGCACGTGCTAAGTGTGATTTACGCTCATCTAACTGTGCAGTGCTTTTTCTTCCAAATATGTATTTCCTGACAAGCATAAAAGATGTGTTTTTGTGTGGGTTTGAGCCGGGCGTGGTGGCGCACACCTGTCATTGGAGAAGGTTGGCCTGGCCGTGTAGACTGCCTTCAGGACCAGCCTGGTTTACCCAGGGCGACTCCGTCACAAACAAAGACAAGTGGGGGAGTTTGGTGAGGTTGGGGTTCTTGTCTCTTTGTTCTAAAGATGGCAGGAGAAGGCTTGCACCATCCAAGCACCAGCAATTTAATCTTATTTTATTATTTATTTATTTTTGTCTTTTTCCTTTTTATCGGTACCGGGGATCGAACTCACGACCGCCTGCTTGCAAGGCAGGTGCTTATGCTGCTGAGCTAAATCCCCAGCCCCTATTCTAATTTTTCAAGCAAATGGTGATGAAGACTGGAATTAAAACTGTGTAAGGACAGAGAGGAGGGTTAGTGCTGAGCAGAAGTTACAGGATTTCGTGAGCGAATGGTTGATGCAGATGAGGGAGGTGTCTGGCAGTTCTGCTCTGAACTGAGCGACGTCCGGTAGATAATTACACTATTAATTTGGAGAAGGATAGCGGAAGAGATGCAGGTGTGCGGGAGATAGATCAGTAAAACTCAGTATGTAGCGTTGAATTGTACATCCATTGTGTCTAAGGTTTTAGAGCAAAGGAAAGCTACAAAGACTGAAATCATGAATTTCAATGCTCAGTGTACAGTATAATTTTTATTACAGCCTGTCAGCTGTTCCCTGAATCCCTGTCTACTGGCTAAGATGGAAGAGATGGGGTGGCTGTAGTACTGGAGAAAAAGCAGAGCTGAGGACGAAACGGAAGATGTTAACTTATGCGTGGTGTCGTGTGGGTGTGAGGAGTGGAGAGGGGTGTGTTTTGAGACAGGGTCTTGCGATGGAGTGCAGGCTGGCCTTGAATTCACTTTGTAGCCCAGGCTGGCCTCTCCCTTGTCGCGATCCTCCTGCCTCAGTGCTGGGATTGCAGGCGTGCACCCGCTCTGGCCCGGCCGGGAGGGGAGTTTTCCAGGGCTCTGGGGTCTGGGGGACCCCCCGCTCCTGAAAGCCTGCGGCTCTTCCCGCGGGGAGCAGCAGGTGGCGCTGCAGTGCGGCTCGTCAGTGCCCTCAAGGTGGAAAGCTTTGAGGGCTGCAGCTCCTTGAGATGTTCCAGCCTTGGGAGAGCAGGTTTGCTCCACTCTAGGCGGCAATGTGATGCGGTACCACGAGTCCAAAGCAGAGACTGAGATCTCTGAAATGTCAGCCAGATTAAACCTTTGCTCTCTGTAGGAGGATTCTCTCAGGTATCTGCTAGAGTGATGCAAAGCCGTCTGTCACAGGTAGTGTAGGGGCAGGGGCTCATAGACAGAAAAAAGGATAAAATAGGCTTTCATGAGGCTGTATTAAAGAAATTAATAGGAAATCTTACTGAAGGTAGGTTTTGCCTCTGCAATTAGATTCCAGCAAACAAAGAAACCAGACCCTGGAAGCAACCAGACCCTGGAAGGTGCCAGTAAACACAATTAATGTAAGAATTTAGCATGAATAGTTGATTGGCAAAACAGGAACATAGCCAGTAACATGAAAGACCAGGATTAACTAGCCCTCCCCTAAATACAAGGAGAAAAGAGGTTGCCACCTGAGGACTCTTATTTACTAGTAAAAGATGCACACACCTCTGTAAGTACATATATGGATTCTCAACTTAGCACTACGGTGCCACAAGGTGCCCTTTACTTAATTTCTAACTCTAGCTGCCCTTCTGTGAGGCTGTCCCACCTCAAACTTACCCATCACAACTGGGCAGGAAGCAATCAAGAGTCCAGAAAGAACAGACAGAGGTGTCCAGCTTTGGGTCAGAGACAGCCAGAGATCCTCTGCTGTTAGAGAACCGAAGGGTCAAGGCGGTGGTCAGATCAGCTTGTGCAAGAGGAAGGCTGTGCCGCTGAGTCCAACCAGGTCTTCCATTTCTGATCCTGGACTGTTTGTCATAGGACACTAACCACTTCTCACCATCGGGTGAGCAGTGGGGTCCCTTCGAAGAGGCTGATGACCCTCCCAGGATGAAGGGGTGTGCGGGAAGGGGTGTGCAGCCCAGAGGCCTGCACTGCTCAAATGATGCGTATTCTCTAAAGAGCAGCTTCCTGATTGGCCCTTGGCTCTTTGGCCTTTTTCAGTGTTTCCCATGCAGTGGATAGCATACTGCACATGCTCAGAGCCTCAAACTGCTCTGTAGTTGGTGCAAGTGATGTGATTTATAGTGAGCATCATCTTTTCTCCGGGGGGTCTGACATTTCACAAATTGCAATCACACAGACACACAGTCCCTATAAAAACTCCGATGAAAATGCTGGTTCAGGCCCAAGTGAGAATTCATGGCAGAGAAACCCATCTGTTGCTTCTGTGTTTTGCTGGGGAATCAGCGGTGTCCTGT